TTCAACTATGGCTTTAAATTCAGCCGAAGAGAGATTATATTGGGTTTGGAGATTGGTTTTGGCCGAAGTAAGGGCTGAATTGGGTGGGGGAGGGTTTGGTATTGGTGGTGGGGTTTGGTTGGGGTTATTTTGTCTTTTATTATTAATTGCGGTTTCGACTTGTTTAATTATTATTTCTTTTAAATTTTTGCTATTTTCCACCGTAAATTCCGCTCCCTGAATCACTTCAATAATTTTTTTTTTTTCAACTTGGTTCAACAAATCCCAATCTTTCAGTTTTTCGATAGTATTTTTAATAAAATGTCGTTTCTCTTTTTCTGACTTATGTTTTGAAAAAATATTAAAAAACGCCTTGTCTTTTTCATTATTCAGCGAATCGATATGACCAAAAGATTTAATATAAGCACCTTTCAAAATTTCTCTATCATCAGAGGTTAATACACTTGAATAACCCTTATTAAAATCATCAATTTTCTCTGTGATGCAACCCAAAAAATACCCAGAAATAGTTGGTTGCGAAAAAATATTAAGCAAAACCGCTTCTACTTCATCTTCTTCTAAACAGTCTATTAAATTGTTTATCTCTTCTAATTCATTTGGTTCAAAAACATCAACAAAATTAGAAAGTTGGTTTCGAATATTTTTGGTGCCTTCTTTAACTATTTTAACCGTTTCTTTATTTCTTCTTGCTACTCCCTTACAAAATTTTCTTTCATTACATCAACAAAAACCGTTAATTAACCTTCCATTATCCTCTAACTGTTCCCTCCCCTTACCTTTCTTAGCCTCCTTTTTGCATATTCTACAACCATGCTCTATACATCAATCCCACTTTTTTTTATTTTCATCTATAAAATAATGTTTATTACATCTAGTTTCCGTTGGACTATTAATATACTTATTGCATATTTCATCTTTTCCTTTTCTTTTGAGATTGAATTTATTATTGATTAATGATTTAACTGACATGATAATTATATATTTTCTTTGTTTGTTTAATAAATTAATTAATTTCTATTTTCGCTTCTAGTTGGTTAGTTTGTAATGCTTGTAAATATTCTAAATGCTTTTGTAAATTATTTATTTCTTGCTGCTGGTTTAAAATAATTTCTATTTCAGATTGGTATTCGGATAAAACTTCTTTTAATTCGGCTGAATTATAATTTTCAGTAAGCAGTTTTTCAAATAAATATTTTTCGGACTTGCTTAATTTATTTTTAAGAATATTAATTGCTTCGGCTAATTCAGATTTTTTATTGGGGATTTGAATAGTTAAATCCCTAATTTTTAAGTCCATGATTTCACTCTCTAAATTAGGATTATTAACCGGTAAAGGGAATAATATTTGCTTAATTTTGGCTAAACTTTTTAATTCTTTTTCAGTTTGGGGAAAGCGAAATAAATTAGTGAGATTATTATATTCCGGTTTATTGAACGGAATATTTTGGTAAATTGCTTCTAATCAGAAACTATTATTATTAGCAATCGGAATTAAATTATTTTCTCCTTGGTATCAGTAATAGGTTTCTTTACCTCCCCAGGCAAGTAAACTTCCAATTATTATATGTTTTAGTTTGGTTTTCCAGGAAAGTTGGTAGTTTAATTTTTCTTTCAACTTTTCTATTTTTTTAGTTTTGTCGGCTTCATTTTGCTTAGTTTGGGTGAGTTCAGTTTGGGTTTGGGTGATTTTTTGACTTAGTTCTTGGATTTGTTTGGTTAAATTAGGGTATTTTTTATTAACTAATTGTCAGGCTCCTAAATCATAATTAAAAGGACGAAGTTGGTTTTGGATAGCCAAGCATTTGGCATTGGTGTCATGGGGGGAGCATTCGATATTTTTATATTTTCCTCTTTCCTTATCATCTCAGGCAGTTAATTTAGTTGCCTGAACTAAACTCTCCGGTAAATATTCTAATCCTTCATTTACATCGGTGGCTTCAATACAAATTCTTTCTAGTTTAGTTAAATTTTGATAAGATTTAAGGGAACCGTAGAATTTATTACGATGGATATATTTTAAACTTGAACTAATTTCCATATTTCCTATTTTTAAGTATCGTAAATTAACAAACTTACTAAATATCTCTATGTCGGTGGGTTGGATATTGTTATCGTAAATCACTAAATTTTCTAATTTCTCGGGATTAGGTAATTGGTTTAAGAAGTCTATGGAGGTAAGGTAATTATCTCCGCAACTTAATGTCTCTAAATTAGCACAACCATTTAAATCAAGATAAGTTAATGTATTCATCGAGCAAAAAAGTTCTTTCAAATTAACCAAACCACCGACATCTAATTTAGTTAGAAGTAACTTACCAACTTTCAAATACTCCAAATTCTTAAACTCCCTTAAATCTAATTCTTCTCCCTCTAAATTAAAATTTTTGTTCATCTTTCCTATACTTCTAATGAGAATACTAGTGAAAAATTTTTGTTCATCTTTCCTATAAATTTCATAAAAATTAATCTTTTTTACCCCCTCTTTATCCTGCTTAGTGGGATACTGCTGATTTAAATATTCTTGTAAAGTTACCATAATTTTTTTTATATTTTGTATATATTAACTATAATTCTAATCTATGAATAAATAAAAAATCAATTTTTTATCTATATTAAATATTTTAGTGTTTTTTTTCAAAAAACTTCCCATTCTAATTATTTGTTTTTCCTTAATTTTTCGGAAAATTCCTTTTCTATTAAACAATTTTGTTCCAAAGAGGGTTTGCTATCAGAAAACTTTTTAGGGGCTGGTTTTGGTTTTTTGTGCTATTTTCTTTCTGTTTTTTCAAAAATAATTTAGATTTAGGTTTCTCCCCTCATTGACCCTTTTCAGGCTGCTAATAGTCAAAAAAAAAAAAAAATGCCTAGTAGACCCAAATAAAAAAATTTTTTTAACTCAAAAAAAATTAAATTATCGCCAGTCTAAGTTAAAACGAGGTTCAATTGGTTCGGTTTTAGTGCTTGTTTTTTTTTTTTTTTTTTGCGAAATCGGCGGTTAAAAATCAGCCGCCGAAACAACCGGCCAAAATTAAGGCTATTCCTCCACCAATCGCTCAGGGTAATCCTACTGAATTAGACTTTGAATTGTTGTTATCTAGGTTTTTTCCAGAGTAGTTGGTTTTGTCCCTTAATTCTCGGATTTCGTTTTCTAGTTCTCTAATTCTTCTTTCTGATTCAGCATTCTCGTTTTCCTCGTCTTTGTCTTTTTTCTTAGGGTCCGACACTATTTGGTTGACTTTATTTTCGTCAATTACAATTTTGTTTTCCGGCTCGCCTTTTTCATGTCGTAAAGCCAATTGACCGAAAAAATGACTAATAATATTTTCAATTTCTTTTTTGAGTTGACGAACTCCTTCTTCCTTAACTTTGCCAATTAAAACCCGCAGAGTATCATCGTTCATTTCAAAAAGGTCTCTTTTAGCATTACCATAAGTTTCTCGAAAAACATTTTCGATTTCTAGTTTGCCAATGGAAAGTTTTTCCATTTCGTTATAACCTTTTAGTTTAACAATTTTCAAGCGGTTTTTTAGAGGTTCGGATAAACCATCTAAACTGTTAGCGGTCAGAATAAAGGTAATTCTGCTAATATCCAATTCTATATTTAAAAATTTGTCTCGAAATTCTTGGTTTTGTTCGGGGTCAAGCACGTGTAAAAGAGCATCCTTAGGACTGCCTTTAATTGGGCTTTCTCCCATTTTTTCCACTTCATCAATTAAAATGACCGGGTCGCAACTTTTAGCCTCAATGAAACTCTGAATAATTCTGCCGTATTTGGACCCAACTCAGGAAGGGTCGCTACCAATAATAATTTGGGGGTCGCTTTCGCCTGCTACATTAATTTTGAAAAACGGGCGACCCATTGCTTTGGCTATCACCTTTGCAAATTTAGTTTTCCCCACTCCGGCAGGACCCACAAAGCATAAAATTTTCCCGCTTTCTCGGAACTTAATATTCTGGTCTTTAAAATATTTTTTAGTTAAAAAAAGGCTTCGGATATCTTCTTTTTGTTCGGTAAATCCTTCTAACTCACTAAACGCTTTTTCCATTTTCTCACTATTGATTTCTTCCGAAAAACTTTGGGAATAACCTTGGAATATACTTTCAATCAGTTTTCACTCCTTTTCCTTTTTTTCCTTAGTTCATACTCTTTCCTCTCCCGCAAAAAATTTGGAAGGAACTAAAACGCTTCCTTCTTTTTCTAACTCTTCTTTCCTTTTTTTCAGGCGGTCTAAACTTGCTTGGTAATTCATAATATTTTTCTTTTCTCTATGGATTTTTTAAATAATTAGCAATTAGAATCTTATATTATTTATTATTTTAACTTTTTTTCCTACCTATATTCCTAAAATTAAAGGTGTTATAGAAGGTTAGCAATAAATAAGATGAAAAGCAGAAAATAAATCGAGAAAAAGCTGTACATCACCCAAAAATCAAGTGAAAAAAGTTTATAAAAAAAGTAAAAGCATAGAGAAGTATGTGGATAGCAATGTTTTTGGAATTCGGTTTTGGAAAAAAGGATATCGAGGGATGGAGATTTATAAAGGACAGCAAGATACTAAATTAGGAAAAAAACAATTCTTAAAAATTATCAAACCGAAACAAAAATACCAACCTTGACAGAAAAATTTATCGCCTAAAAAAACGCTAATTGCTAATATGGTTAACTGTTATCTTAATTATGAAACTAAACTAAAATATAATAATTATGACTGAATTGCTAATCATCAAAACGGCTAACACGAAAAAATTAAAAACTTTTCTCGCTAAAAACCATATCGAACACCAAATTATTTATACCGAACCTTTGACTGATAAGAAAACAAATAAAAAAGATAAATTGCGAGAACATATTGAAATGAAAAGCAAAGAGGATATTTTTACTAATTATGGCGAAGCAATTAAGGACAAAGAACGAGAAAAAGAAATCACTCTATGAGAACAAGCCGACGAGGAGGATGAAGAAGAATTAAGCAAAAAATATGGTCATTAAAGAAAAAGTTAGTAAATATCCGAGCATCACCCAAGTTTTTCCCAGAGAAGTCTACCTGTTTTGGGTTAGTCACAAAGAAACCGAAGGCACCGAAGCCATGAAAACTCGACCGGGGATTGTAATTTCAGTGGAAAGTCTAAATAAATGGAATAAACGCTGTATAATTGTGCCGGCTACTACTAAAAAAACTAATTTAGCCAAAATTTACCCATTTGAAGTGAAAGTAATTATTGATGGTAAGAAAGGAAAAGCCATGGTAGACCAATTAAAAACTTATAGTTTGGGACGGATTATTGAAAAGTCGTTTATGGGAAAAATTAGCGAAAAAGAAATGGAAGAAATTCAAGAAAAAATAATGTCCGCTTGTAATTTATGGGAATACTTAAAGAAAATAAGTTCAGTAGTAAGCAAAAAAAGAGAGTTGGGATAAAACATCGAAAATAATCGCTTGCTTATCCCAAAAAGAAAGCGAGGGCTTTTTTAGCAGTAGAAATTGCTAAACAAAAACATAAGGCTTGGTTAACTTAGACCTTCAACAAAAAACCTTGAAATTGTAATAATTACTAATTATGAATTTAAATTTTCCTAAAAATATTATACTTTCTAACCGAACTAAAACCGAAAAATAAAAATAATCTCTATAAATATTTGAAAAATGAACCTAAACAAAAAATGCCTAGTAGTAGATGGTAATAACCTAATTCATTCTTCTTATCATGTGGCACAAAAACTAACTTGAAAAATGAAAAAAGGAGCCATATTTTTCTTTTTGCGGGTTCTGATTAGTATTCTAAAAAAAGGAGAATACCAAAAACTACTGATTACTTTCGATGGGGGTGGAACTAATTGACGGAAAATCTTGCTTCCACAATACAAAGCTCAACGGGTAAGCATGCCCGAAGAATTACGAAACCAAATGGAAGAAATTAAATTAGTATTGGAAAGAGCCAATATTACTTATATTCAATTGGTAGACTGCGAAGCGGATGATTTAATTACCTCTTTTGTCAGGCAAAACAAAAAAACTGATGCTAATTTAATTTTTGATATTTTTACGCGGGATAAAGATTTACTTCAATTACTAGATGAAAAAACTAATATTTTGAAGTATGTTAATGGAAAAATAACTCTTTACGCTAAGGAAGATTTTCAACAAGAATATAACTTTCCCGCTCCCAATTTTGCTGATTATTTAAGTTTATTAGGAGACAACGTTGATAATGTTAAAGGGGTGAGAGGAATTGGAACAGTGGGTGCTAAAAACTTAATTCGACAGTTTCAGACAGTTGAAAATATTTATCAGCAAAAAAATAATTTGCCGGAAAATAGTCGCAAACTACTAGAAAATTGCCAAGAGGAGGTTTATCTTAATAAAAAAATTGTTGGTTTGGAAGACAATATTTCTTTACCGACCAAACTCTATGAAAAATGTGATTTTAACTGAGAAGAATGAAAAAATAACCATGAATTAAAACAATTCTGTACCGAAAATAATTTTAAGAGCATTCTTAAACTTTTGACCTAAATTCGCTTTGGCCTGAAACTAACCTAGAAAATAATTTAAAAAAGTATAATTTTTGTCAATTAATTTATGGATTACGCTCCGGTTTAGGAATTAGAATATAGAAAACACCTTCATTTAATTCTAATATTTATAACCTATCGCTTTATTTTTTTTCGCCTTGATGAAAATTTCAAGATAAAAAACCCAATTAGAATAATTGGGAGAGTAATTAAAGCAGTTATTCCTATCACTTTTAGCCAAGGAAATTCCGGATTTTGGTGATGATTAGGAACTTCTCCTCTCGTTAGTTCGGAAATTAAATTGTCAATGAGAGATTTTTTTTCGTGATAAGCAATTTCAGTAAATTTGTTCCTATTAGTAAATCCCAATAACTCATTAACTAAGGCTCCTTTTTCTTGTTTGTTTTGAATTTTATCAACTTTATTCAAAATACCTTTCAATTCTTTCCGAGCCCCACATACCGCAATTTTCTCTTCGGCCACATTAACCTTTTCAGAAGAGGGGTCTTGTTCGACCTCCGCTATTGCCCTTAGAGCCTCCTCGTCAAGTTCTTCCTCACTCAATTTGTTATTCTTTATGTGTTGGTTAAGTAATTGCTTGGTTCTTTCTCGATATTTTGTAGGATTTAACTCCCGCAACCTATTTTCGATAGTTTTGATTTCCGCAAGTTGGGATTGATAAGCATTGGTGGAAAATAATTCTTTGATTTGTTGGAAAACATTTTCGAGGTTTTGATAGTTATCTCAATTTTGTGGTTTTCGGACTTGAAGGAGAAGACTATCAAGACGGGCTTTATCTTTTTTGTCTGCTCTTTTGTTGCGAATATCGGCCAACACTCTTTCTCGGATATCATTGATAGCACCTTCGGACTGGGCTTTGACAATGTCTCCTTCTCAATTTCGGTTAGTTATTTCGCTTTCGTCAACCGTAGGTTCTTTGTTTAATTCAGCAACGATTTGACCCATGGCCGCCGCTCGGAGTTTGATTAAGGGGATTTTAATTTGTCGTTTCTGAGAAATATCGGCAAAAACATTATGCTTAATTTGGTCTATTTCGGTTTCATTATTCGCATTTTGGATAGCACTTTCTCAACCTTGATTGCCTGGGTTAAGTTCTGAATTTTCAATCTTTGGTTTTTCTGATAATTTGGTTTTAATTTCGTCAATTGCGGTATTTTTGCGGGTAGTGAGATTAGTGTTTTTGACTTCTCTTTTTTGGGTAATATCTAAAAGAACGCGATTTCTAATTGCCTGAATTGTATCTCCGTTAGGAGCATTTTGAATTTCATTTCGCCAGCCTTGGTTAGCGACTTCTAATTCAGCATTAGTTATTGGTGGATTTTGGTTCAGAGCATTTTCAATTCCGGTAATGGCGGTGTCTCTATCCGCTTGTAGGATATCCGTGCCGCCCCCATATCCTAAGCCCCCTACTCCTAACTTTAGACTGTCATAATAATGGTCTCATGAACAATAATTTTTACCCTCAATTCTATCTCATGCGCTTCGATTATTAAAAGTCTTGATTAACCCGCAACCAGCACACTTGGAATTAGTAAAATTAATTTCTTTTTGAATTAAAAGGTCTTCTAAACAACGATTAGAGCAACAATAATCCCTATCTGGGTCAGTTTCTTTATACTTTTTTCACATCGCTGGGAGAAGCGGAAGTGTTCTGCTACAACTCGGGCAAGTTCTTTCCACTGTACCTGGTGGAGGAGCGACAACTGGGGGGATATACCCTTTTTCGGGATAATTATGAGTAGTGTGGGTGTAACCCTTTCCGCCACTCCAAATAAATTCACAAGCTTCAGTACAAAATAAATGAAAACTTCATTTAGATAAATAATGAAAACCGGGGGTTCGGGTAATGTCTATATTGCAATGACCAGAACACTTAAACACTCTATTCAACTCACTTATGTCTTGGTCATAATTTCTCTTTAAATTCTTGTCAGAAAGGACATCATAAGCCATTTGAATATCAGCCCATCTAATTTCAGCCTCTTCTCTAAGAGTTTGGGTAGTCGGCACTCCTGCCTTGTCTGGATGTAAAAGGAGTACCAATCTACGATATTTTAATTTGATATCTCTTTCGGAGGCAGTTCTAGGAAGACCTAAAATACCATAATGATCCATTTCGTTATGTCAATTGTCTCTAATTCCTTCTCCTACCATAATAATTTATTTTTTTTAATTAATTTCTATTTTTGCTTCTAGTTGATTTTCAATTCCTACTGCTAATTTTACTAATTCTTTTTGGATTTCACAAACATTTACTACTTCTTGCTCGTCTAAATTGCCTTTTTCTATTAATTTCTTTTTACTTCTTTCAAACTGCCTTTTGGCAAAATTATTATCATTCTTTATATATTCTTCGTTAGCATCAAGCAAAGCATCTAACTCATCGTGAAATTTTTCCTCCAACTTAGATTTCAGCAATTTTTTTAATTGTTCTAACTCCGTTTTTCTAGCCTGGATTTCTTTTTTTTGTTTTTGTTTGTTTATTTCTGATAATTGTCGCTCTAATTTTAACTTCTCTTTTTTTAAATTATCGGTCTCTTTGCTTAAAATTTTTATTTTTTTGTCTTTTTCTATTTCTTGGGATTTGGTTTGTTGAAGTTCTTGTTTGATTTCGGTTATTTTTTGACTTAATTCTTGGATGTGCTTAGTTAGGTTGGGGTATTGATTATTAACTAATTGCCAGGCTTCTAGGTCGTAATTGAAAGGGATAAGTTGGTCTTGAATGGCTTTACATTTGGCATCGGTATCATTAGTAGAGCATTCGATACTATATGCACCCATTCTTTTGCTCTCTTTAATTAAACTTTCCGGTAAATATTCTAATCCTTCATTTATGTCAGTGGCTTCGATAAAAATATTTTTTAATTTAGTTAAGTTTTGAAAAGATTTTAAGGAGCCATAGAATCTATTGCGTTTGCCTTGGCTCAAAACTTCTCTTTCGGTTCCAATTTTCAAAACCTCCAAATTAACAAACTTTCTAAATATTTCGATATCAGTAGGTTGAATATTGTTGTTGTAAATTTCTAATTTTTCTAACCTCTCGGGATTAGGTAATTGGTTTAAAAAGTCCACGGAGATAAGGTCAATACCGCTTAAATTTAAAAATCTTAAATTCTCACTCTTTAAGTTTGTTATTGAAGTTATTTTACTTTTTAATAAATATATTCTTCACACTTTCTCATACTCCCCCAAATCTAAATCATAACTAGTGAACTTGTTGTTTTCGTCTCTAAAAAAAGCAATGAGTACTCCCACCCTCTTATCCGGAAATTTTTTTTCGAATTGTTCTTGTAATGTTGTCATATTTATAATTGTTTTATCAATTTAATTTTGCCATTTTACGAAATCTTTTTAAGCGACTTCTAAATCTATTTTACAAAAAAAAAAAAAAAAAAACAGTGGGGGTTTTGGGGTGATTTTTTTACATTGCTGACCCTAATTAGTTGAAAATTTTTTTTGAATTATCCATTTTTCAGTAAATACAATTAGCATGTTTTTCACCTCCTAAATTAAACTCGGAAAATAAAAAAAATTAAATCGGCAATTTTTTAATCTTTTTGCCTTTTGCTAAAATATTTTTTATAAATTAATAATATGCCCTCGCTGCCTTATAAATACATTGAGGAAAAAATTTCTTTGCCCGAAACCACTCCTCATAAATTAGCCGAAAAATTGACTTATTATGGTTTAGAAACCGAAGTAATTAAATACAAAAATAGTTTTTATCTCAAATTTGACCCTTTTCCAAATCGACCAGATTTATTTTCATGGCAAGGAATTATCGGTGAAATAGGAATTTTACTTAATCGTAAAGTTAATTTAATTAATTTCTCGGCGATAAGTGAAAAAAATGAAAAGTTGATGGAGATAATAATTGCTACTCCTAATTGCCGTGAATTTCATTTGGGTCTAATCAAAAATATTAAAGTCGGTGAAAGCCTTGCGTGGATAAAAGAAAGTTTGGAAATTAACAATATCCGTTCAATTAATAACCTAGTAGACATTGCTAATTTAGTAATGTTGGAAACCGGACAACCGATTCATATTTTAGATTATGATATTTTGCCCGAAAGCAAAATGGTAGTGCATCAAGTTCAAGGAAAAGAGGAAATAAACACCCTCCAAGGGCAAAAATTAACTCTTAATTCCGAAGACATAGTAATCAGTTCGGGAGGAAAAATTATTGATTTAGCGGGGATAGTTGGAGCCAAAGAATTCGCTTTAACTTCCCAATCAAAAAATATTCTAATTGAATGTGCCGATTTTAATCCTAATTCCATTAAAAAAACTACTAAACGCTTGAATATTTCGACAACCGCTAGTCAATTTTTTGGTCGGAAAACTAATATAATTTTCTCACCAAAGCAAGTTCTTCAAAGAGTAATTTCCCTTATTATTGAGACTTGCCGAGGAGACTTAATAAGTTCTGAAATAATTTTTTCTTACCAAACCGAAAAAAAAATCTCCTCGGTAATCGCCATTAGCCAGGAATTCATTACCAAAAAAGTCGGGCAAAATCTAATGGTGCCAGTAGTTGAAAATATTTGAAAGCAACTAAAATTTTCCTATCAAAAAAAAGAAAATATTTATTATATCACTATCCCTTTATCGCGACCAGATATTACCATTGCGGAAGATTTATTGGAAGAATTATTAAGAGTTTATGATTATAACAAAGTGGTTAGTTCGCTTCCGGAAAGAATTTACTAACAAATCTAAAAAACTAACCGCTTTTGACAATCAATTATTAATTAATTTTACTACTCTGCATTACTTAACCAGATAATTGACTTATTTAGGAAGTATCAATATGTATCAAATCATTCGCTTTAAGATTAATACTATCAGAAAGAGATGGGGGATTTGTCAAAGATGGATTTAGGAGTTTTACCAATTAAATTAATATAATGACCTTTACCATCAGCATATTGGATATCTTCATATAAACCGATAGTAATTTGTTTATCATTATGGATAATTAGTTCCTTTATGTAATAGGGTTTCATATTAAGTAATTTTGGTTATTTGCCGAGTCTTAAATATTAATAAAATGTTATCTTATAAGATTTGTTTCTCACCACAACCCTTTATGCACCAAGTGCAGACTAGATTGTCAGGAACACCGAACTTGTCATCTGGTTCGATTAAGTGGTGAGGGTCAAAGAAGAGAACATGAAAAGAACCTGAATAGTAGCCAAACATGCGTATATTACCACTAACAATTTTAATTTTATAAAAAGGGTTGAGGTGAAAAGTTTTAGTCATTCATTCTTCCTTGTAACCAAATTCTTGAAGAACTTCCACTAATCGCTTCAAAGATTTATCCTCCGCCTTGATTCCAAAACATAGTCCTTTTTGTTGTAATTCAATTAGAGTATAATTCGAATATCCTTTCAAAACTGAAAAAACACGGGCGAAAAAACAATTCTTTTCTTTTTTGCTAACTTTATTAGTAAAGTATTCGCCTTTAATTTTCTTATCTAAGCACTTGTCAGAAAAATAATCAAAAGAAAAGGTTAATTTAGGAAGCATAACTAAACAAGTATTCTTTTTTTTCTAAAACTTCCCGAGAATGGATATCTTTGTAAAAATCATTTGGGTCGTTAATTCCTACTTTATTGTTAGTAAGGGGTTGGAAAATTTCATCTACAATTAATTTGACAATCCTTTCTTCATCTTCATAACAAGCATAATTTCGATAAACGTCAGTAAGGACATTTCTAATAAAAGGTTCGATTGGTTCTTCAATGTCTTTCAAAACATCAGTAGGCGATAAAGGATAAATTCCATCAGTGCTTTTTTTATAAAGGGAAATTAACATTGGATTGCCTTCTCATTTTTCAAATTTTTCTTCGAACAACACTTTCTTTTGTTTGAGACTTTGGATGTAGGCTAAATAGACTAATCTTTGAATTACTGGTCAAGTAACTCCTCCTTTTTCATAAAAGAACTTGGCTATTTTTAAGGGGTTGGAGTGTAAATGTTCAAGAGATTTTATTCATTCTTCATTGTCACAGTCAAAACAACAGGCTTCTAATTTTCCACTTTTTCCTCGCTTTCATAACTTTTTTGGTCGATTATGTTTTTGACAAAATTCTTCTGGTTTGAAAACTATTTCCCTTGCTTCTTGAATAAAATCGGTTCCTATTGAATTAGGAAGACAGTCGAAGCAAAACTTTACTAATCCTCTCTCTCCATGTAATGCTACCGAAGCAATAACTTTTTCCTCTTTGCACTCATCGCATTGATTAATTTTCCCTATTTTTTGTGCCCATGTCATTTTTTTATGTTAATACTAATATATTATAATGTTATTTTATTCTTTTGTAGCATAAATGTTCTGACGATAGTTGAAAAATACCTCGAAGCTTGACACCCACTATTTCGTTTTTCCGTATTCCAAAAATACTTGTAGTCGTAGAAGTAGCATTGAGTTTCATTAAACACTCTTTTACTGAGTTATTCAAATACTTAGTTAAATCTTCTTTCTGAAAGAATTTGACTCTTTCTTCAATAACTGAATATAATCTTCCCTTAGTTCTTTCTTCTGTCTTTCTTAAATTTCCTTTAAGGATATTATTCTTTTTCTTGATTAGATTCAATTCAGGAGTGTAAGAAGGTAAGAAAATAACTTTGATATCTTTACTGGATAACAACTCAGCAATTTTGGTAGTTTTATGAACTGACAAGTTATCAGGGTTAAACTTAGTTAAAAAGTCGTAGAAGTGTGGGGTTTTCATGCCTCCCTCCATTAAGTCTCAATGGATTATTTTGTCCCCACCAGTGATTTGAGCCAAGAACATCAAAGTATGATTCTTGCCTCTATTGCCAAGTTTTTGTTTAATTATTGGCAAACCTTTTCAGCCATAACCTCTTCGCAAAACCATATTACAGCGGAAAACCAGTTTCATCTAAGAAAAAGATATTAGCACCAATGGCAATCAAGTAAGGAAGGGTTACGTTGATGAAGTAATTAATTTTGGCTCTATTTTAGTCTTACCTGTTCGATAGATTGATAAGTATATCCCTTTCCAAACTACTCTTGCTCTTTTTAGGGAAGTGTAGACAGTATATTGACTACAATTAAACAATTCTGCTAGATACCTTTGGTTAGTAACTTTAACCTTATTCATTGCAATGACACACTCGAGTAATCAGTCAAGTAAAGAACCATCTATTTGCGACCTCTTTTTTTACTTGTTTTTCTTACTTTCTAGTTCTGATTGTCGAGCATGTCTTCTTAGGGTTCGTTCGCTAGTTTGGAAGATATCGGCTAACTCTTTTCAAGTCTTACCTGTTTCTTTTTTTATTCGGTTAATTATTTTCAATTTGTTAGTAATAGAAATAACCAATAAAGCAGAATTATAATTTACTAAATATTTTGTTTTAGCATGCTGTTAACTCCTCTCAACACTATTTTTAAACATTCTATTCGGTGAGGATAATTAAATAGGTCGCTAAAAACCTCTAAGGTGGGATAATTATCTAAATTATAATTTTTTCTCTCTATCATTGCTTGACAGTTATTTATTATAAACTTTCCTTCTTCCAAACTTTTTTTTTCTAAATAAGAACAAATTATATTAGTTGCCGCGATAGTAATCAAACAAGACTGCTGCCCCGAAAATAAAAATTTTTCCAAACAGTTATCTTTTTTTTTTATTAGGAGGTGAATAATATCACCGCACCCCACTTCTAAACTATGAAAAGTAGCAAAAGGAACTTGCCAATCTTGACTTTTTTTTTTTAATTCCTCTAATTCCACCTGTTTAGCGGGATGGTTGTAATTGTCTAAAATAATTTTTCTTTTTTGTTCGGGCAAATGGGACATACTTATTTTTTAGTTAGTTTCTTTTTTTTGAAAAGTGAAAGTGTTGGAATAATTAAAACCGGAATGACAACTATCAGATGGTTTTAATGAAAGATTAATTTCCCAAAAAAAAAATGTTTCAACTAAAATTTATAACCAATTTCCATTCCCTATTTTTTAACTTCGAGGACAAAAATTTTGACACTATTTATCAAAATTAATTTAATATTTTTATCTATGGTGTGGGACAAGGGACTTGAACCCTTACGCTTGCACACAAGAACCTCATTCTTGCTTGTCTACCAATTCCAACAGTCCCACAGTACTCCTTATAAAATTTTTAGATTAGGTGTGATAATAAATGTTCTAAAAAAAATATAGAAATTTGGAGAAACAGTTTAAATAGTTAGTGGGATAGAATAAAAAACCTATTTGTTTCCCCGTAAAAGTTCTCTTAAACTACCCGCACCAAAATTGACTTTTCCGAACTCTTTCATTCGGGCCTTTCCTTTTTTTTGTTTGGCCCATAATTTCATTTTTCGAGTTCTATCCCCCCCATACATATTACCAGTAACCAGTTTTTTCAAAGCCGGTAGAGTTTCCCGAGCAATTACTTGGCTACCAATACAGGCTTGGATAGGAACTGTAAAAGTTTGTAATTTAAGGGTTTTTTTAAGTTTCTCGCATGCTGTTTTGGCTCGCTCGTAAGCAAAGTTTCGGTGAACTAAAAAAGATAAGTCGGGAATTGACTGATTATTCAATAAAATATCTATTTTGACAATATCACTCGGATAAAATCCGATTATTTGGTAATCAAAAGAGGCATAACCATGTGAAATAGATTTTATTTTGTCATGAAAATCGAGAATGAATTCAGCGAAGGGTAAATGATAAGTTAGTTGATAAAGCGAACCAGTTTTTCATTCTTGCGATTGATAAATACCCCTTTTGTTTTGGCACAATTGAGAAATTGCTCCTAAATGTTCCTCCGGAGTAGTAATGTTTATGTTAATAAATAATTCTTCAAAACCTTTTATTTTACCTTCGGCAGGAATTTTTTGAGGATTATTGGTTTCCATTTTTTCACCATTAGGAAAAATTATTTGATAATTAACGCTGGGCGAAGTAGTAATAATTTCGCACTTAAATTCTTTTTCTAGTCTTTCACAAACAATTTCGCGGTGTAATAGTCCCAAAAAACCACAGCGAAAGCCTGGACCGAGTAATTGGGAATCGGTTGTTTCTAAACTTAAACTATTGTCTTGGATTTGTAGTTCCTCCAAAGACTTTTTAAATTCTTTATATCGAGAACTATCGGCGGGATATAAATTAGAATAAACATTTGATTTTACTTCCTGGTATCCTTCCAAGGGCGAAGCGGTGTTATTTAAGTCCAAAATAGTATCGCCAACTTTTACCTCTTGCATGTCCCGAATATTAGCAGTAAATCAACCAATTTCTCCGGCAATTAATCTATCTTTTAAGACCTCTTTGGGAGTTTTTACTCCCACTCTTTCAACTTGATAAACCTTCTGTTGGCTAGCATAGAACTTAATTTTTTGACCTTTTTCCAATTCTCCTTCGAAAATGCGAGTATAAATGACTACCCCATAATACCGACTATAAAATAAATCAAAAATTAAGGCTTTTAAATCTTTTCTTTCCATTATACTTTAATTTATTTTTATCATTAAGCGAGTTAGCATTTTTGTCCGCAGTCTTAAATTAATTATTTTTTGTCCGTATTAAAATACTTGTCACGAATGTTTTGCTTTTAAAATCTTAATATGGTGAATGAAAGAATTACGGAAGAAATTGTAAGGGAACAATTAAGAAAAGCGGGCTATTATGATACATCCGATATTGAAATTTACGAACAAAAAACTAGTGAGGGGATATTAGAAAATCTACTCGACAAAGCCAGTAAAAATAAAATGGGTAAAGACAAGGGTTATCCTGATTTTATTCTTTTTTTGCGACAATATGATATTGTTATTATTATTGAGTGTAAAGCCGATAGAAAAAAACATTACAGTCAGAATTTAAATAAAGCAAAAGAATATGCTGTTGACGGAGCAATTTGATATTCTCAGTTTTTTTCTGCTCGATATAACACAGTTGCTATCGGCGTTTCAGGACAAAATTTAGAAGAATTAAGGATTACAAAATATTTCTACCAAAAAAAGGCAACTATACCTTTTAAAATTAGAGGTCAAGATAAAGAATTGGAATCACCCAAAGAGATTTACCAATATTGGTTATATGAAGAAAAACTAGAAAAAATTGATGATTTTGAGAAAATTTCAAGTAATTTACATAAGCAATTACACGAAGCAAATGTCTCTCAATACCAAAAATCAATAATTATAGCAGTCATTCTGCTAGGGTTAGCAGATAGGGATTTTCGGCAAACTTACCAAGATATTTCCTCCGAAGAAACAATTGCTACTTCGTTGCTTAATTCTATGGTTAAAGTCTTAGAAGAAGCCGAGGTATCAAACAAAAGCATTAAAACAATAAAAAATAATTCTTTGTTTTTGCTCGACCACGCTATCGTTAAGAAAAATTCTCCTTATAAATTATCTTATTTCATTAAACAATTAGATAACAAAGTTTTTAAATATATGAAAGGTGATTACAAGGAAATGTATACTGATGAACTGGGTTATTTCTACAACGAATTTTTAAAATATACGGGCGGGGGAGATGGTCGAGGACTGGGTATCGTATTAACTCCCTTTCACATTTGCGAATTATTTGCGGAATTGGCTGGGATAAACAAAAAAAGTCGAGTTATTGACATTTGTGCTGGCACTGGTGGTTTTTTGGTTGCCGCCTTAAAAAAAATGCTTACTCCGCTTCCTTTACAAAAAGAAATTCAGTCAATCAAAAAGAATAATATTATCGGTTTCGAGTTGAGTCCTAATATATATCCTTTACTTATCGCTAATATGATTATTAGAAATGATGGCAAAAGCAATTGTCTAAATATAGACTGCTTTTCTTTTACGAGCCAAGAAATATATGAGAAATATAAGCCTAATACTGGATTGCTTAATCCTCCTTACGCAGTAAGAAAAAAGGAATTAGAATTTGTTCTCCACATGTTAGATTCTTTGGAACCGCGAGGAATAGGAATCGCGATTGTCAATGTTTCTTGCTGTAAAGATGAAAATGATTCAGATTTAAGAAAGGAAATATTATCTCGTCACCAACTGTTAGGGGTTATGTCGATGAAAAATAATTTATTTAGAAGAAGTTCGGGGGTTAATACTAATATACTAGTTTTTAGAACCCATTCCAAACATAAAGAAAAAACATTTATGGCTCTATGAAAAAATGATGGATTAATTGATAAAAAAGGCTCGGTAGGTTGAAAAGATGAAGAAGGTAATTGGGAAGAAGTAAAGAAAAAATGAGTAAGTCAATTTAATAATAAAGAAATAATTTCGGGAGAAAGTAATCTTGTTTACTTAAAGGAAAATGATATATGAATTGCGGAAAATCACATGATTAACAAATTTGATAGTTTTACTCCCAGTTTATTAGCCAAACATATTTATTCAACTATCAAACAAATTTTTAAATCTGATGGAAAAATTATTTTTAACCAACTTAAAGAAATCCCGCACCGGGAAACAGAAGATGAATTTCCTTTTGAAATCAAAAAGGAGTGGAAAGAAGTAAAAATAAGCGACCTTTTTGAATTTCACCATTTTAATTCTATACCAAAAAAAATAAGAAAGAGTGGAAAAATACCTTTCATTGGTGCCAGCAAAAACAATAATGGCATAAGCGAATACATTCTTCCTGTAAAAGGGTATGACATTATTAATTATAGGTGTATTACTTTCGGAGCACAAGGTAATGTAGGAGTAGCAAACAGTTTTTATCAAGTAAACCCTTTTATACCCTCATCAACTATATGAATATTAAAGCCTAAATTTGAAATTAATAATTATAATGGCCCATTTTTAGCAGCCATGTTAGAAACCGAAAAGTTTAGATACAATTTTGGAAACAGTGTGAAATTAAGGAACCTTGAAAATACTTATATTTTTCTTCCTTTTGACAAAAAATATAAAGTTGTTGATTGACAGAAAATAGAAAAAATAGTCAAGGAATTGGATAAAGCAGAATTGCTCGATGTTGAAGTAATTAATTAAAAAGTCTAACGAAGTTTTAAACATAAACTAGCCTGGAAATAATAGAAAAATTTAAAAAAATAGAAATTAGCAGAAAATAGTTTAACGCATTACATTTAGCACTCTTGCTTTATTTAAAACTCGGTTTCTTTGTTTTTTTTATTTTTTTGGTCGCTTAAATTATGGTTTCTCTAAAAAAAATACTAATTTTGCCCCTGGTAATATTTTCTAAAATATGGCGAAATAATTTCATAATTTTATGGAGGAGGCGAAGGGATTCGAACCCTTGAATACTGATGTATTAATAGTTTTCAAGACTATCGCCTTCAACCGCTCGGCCACACCTCCCTTTAATTAAATTTTACTTCAATTCCCTATCTCTTTATGTCAATTTTGTATTTTTTTTCTTTGGATTTATATTTTCTCTTTGCTTTTGTTGACACCAGAAAAACAATAAGATAAAAAACCTTCTGAGAGTAATTTGTTTATCTTATCGCACTTATATTTATAGTGTAAAATTATATATAAAAACAATACTTTAAGAACGCTTTTAAATTTTTTGTCATGCTATCTTACTTTTCCTTCAATAATAGGCAACTATCCCTATCACCAAGACTAAAAAAATTCCTCCTCCAATTAGTCAAGGAGTTCAGTTGAAAGGTTTTTTATTCTCTTGTGATTGTTGTTTTTCTGCTTCTAACTTGGCTAATTTTTCCTTTTTATCCTTTAATAACTGTTCTTCTGGGGGAGTTCGGTTAACAATTGCCTCTAATTTATCAATTAACTGCCGCAGTTTCTCAATTTTTTTGTCTCTCTCTCTCTTGGTCTTCATCCTCTAAATTACCACAATAACAAGAAGAATAATAACTATTATTCTTTCGCTTAATGGCTTTTTGTTTGGTTTCAATTCCTCTCTTAATAAACCTATCTTTAACTTCCTCCCAGTTAAGTATATCAATTGTTTTGGACAGACGGCATTTGGAACATTTATCACTAGTTCAGTTTAATTCAGCATCAATTTCTCCTCCGATATATACTTTTCATTCAAATTTCTTTCCATGACAAGAGGAACACCCTTTTTCAATTATTTTTCCCACTTCGAAAGCATTCATGTTATCTATATTGATTACCTTTTTACATTTTAGACATTTTACAAAATCCATAGTTATATAATTTATAATAATTTTATTATTTAGAAAACAAAATACTGTTTTAACCTCCATTTCAAAACCTAAATTAAACCCTGTTTCAAATATTAGTTAGAACAATGGATTTTTGATAATTAATGTAAAATAGTATATTATACCCCTAAAAATTAATTAATAAAGAATATGGTTATATTTCAATTAGATTTACAATTTTTCGCCCAAAAGAAAGGGGGCGGTTCTGCTTCCACTAACCGAAGTCATGATTCGATTTCAAAACGTTTAGGAGTTAAAAAGTTTGGCGGCGAACAAGTGCGGGGAGGCAATATTATTATTTGTCAACGAGGAACCAAATATAAAATTAAGAAAAGTGATGAAAGTGTATTTTTCGGAAAAACTTATAACATTCATGCTAAATATGATGGAGTAGTTAGTTATTATAATCAAGGCGGAAGAAAGAAAAGAACTTTTGTGACTGTTTTGTCTAAGCCAAACAAAGAGCAGGAAGCCCAAACCATCGAAGAATAAAAAAACAGATTTTTTTGTCGCAAATAAAATTTTTGCTTAAATTTAAGAAATTAGAGGAAAGCAAGTTAGCGAAAATTTTTAGTTTTTTGGTCTGGTTCTATAAACTTGTAATTAACTGGAATTATAAAAAAAATCCCTAATATAAGTGAAAGTCGAAATAGTTTCTTTTTCCCACTAAAAAATTTTTCCTATTGTTCTACACAAAACTAATATCAGTTATTTTTATTTCAACCCTTCTCGCTATTTTAAGAGAGATTTAAGTCTTTAAAATACTAGCATTTTAATAATGTAATGTTATCAAATACCAATAATTTTTGTCAGTTTAAGTTTGGAAAAGTTTTGCGGATTTTTGCTGAAAAGGTAATGTTGTTTAATTTTTTAATAAAGTTTAATTTAACATTATCCTAATTAGAAAGTATCACAGTATTTATTTTCTCCGCTTTCAATTTCTTTTCCGCCCAATTACCATTATTGCGGCTACTATTATTCCAATAACCGTAATTCCGGAAATTCACAGTAGAGGGTTGTCGAGGCGAAAGAAAGTTTTGGAGTGGTCGGAAGAGTAATTTTTGCTTCGGTTAATTAAATCATTAATTATATTCTTTTTCGCAGCAACGGCTTGTTGGTGGTAGTCAATTCCGCTATTTACAAATGATTCTAACTTTTTAACCTCATTTTCAATTTTAACTCTGTCTCCCATATCTAGGGCTTTCCGAAGTTCCTGAATTATTTTGACTAAGGCTTTTTCACCTATTTCTTTTTTAATTTCTTCCCGAGCAGTGGGGTCATTATTATCGTATTTTGTCTTAGTAGCAGATAAATCGGAAGGCTCTAATCCGTTTTGTTGTAAAATGAGTTTAATTTCTTCTCGAACAATTTGGCATAATTCATCTTGGGCTCCTAATTGTTTTAATTTTTCTTCTGCCTTTTTTTGGGCTTGCTTTAAATTTGAATTAGAACTAGTAGTAATAATTTTTTCATTATTTTTAATTGCCGAAATTATATTCTCTTTTTTACCACTTTCGGTAGCGGCATTTAGTTCGTTTTCGGCTTGCTGTTCCTGTTGGGAAGTCGGAGCAGAAAGAGGAGGTTTAGGTTTGGGAGGCGGCGGGGTTTGGTGGTTAGGAGAGGGAGGGTTGTTCGTTATTCATGCTTCAATTTCGGCTAAAATAGCATTTTTATCACTTTCGATTTGTTCCTTCGAATTGTTTACTCAACTCATTCTATAATTAGTTTCTCAGATATTACCTCACATTTCTAATGCTTGCTCCGGACTAATTCCAGCAGCATTTAATTTGGCTTGGATTTCTGAAACGTTTTTGTTAATCAGGGCTATTTTTTCCTCATTCTCGTTGTCCTTAGCGTTAGTGTTTGACTCCGGCGACTCCGCTTCTATTTCGGAAGGATTTCATTCTCCTCTGTTGGCGGAAAATTGTATTTCGAGTCGAATTTCCATGAGAATTCTCCCTAATCAATTTTCACCTCTGCCATCAACACCATCTCCTCAATAATTATCGGGGGAATGTTCGACCAATTTTTTATTTTTGGTTTCTCAAAGCAATTTTTTCAATTTTGGATTTTGGTTAAATTTTTCCCGCACCGCAAAACGCATGGCTCGTAATCGCATTGGAACCACTACTGTGCTATCCCAAGATAAACTTGTTGGTCGCTCTTCCAAAAACCAATCTCCTCTTAATCCATTCTCTAATTTAAATCACTTGTTAACAAAATCACGGGCTTCTCCGGGATTAGTAATATTTCTAATTTTATCTATCGTCATTGCTAGGAAATTAAACCCTTTTAGACTTTCGCCAACCCCCCCACACATTTCAATATATACACCATTTCCCTGATACTCGCCTCCTAAATAATTGGTTCAGTGAGTTAATTTGAAAACTTGATAAAGGTGTTCTGAGGTGTTCCATTTAATTTTTTCCGCTTTTTCTTTTTTTGCTAATTCTTTTCAACTTTCTCTTTTCGGCAATCTTATCATAACAAGTTCCTTGTTATAAAAATGTTTATGACCGCTGGATAACTTTCCTTTTTCATCCAAAGGCATATACCTGAAACTACTACCATAAATGACTTCAATTGGTAATTCACATTCTATCGAACTAGCATAAAAATTAGTTAATTGATAATAAGGCATGTCCTTATCATAAAATCAGATTTCGTTTTCTGGCTGTCCGGGATATTTTTTTTTTGTTTGGTTTGTGTTATTTGTGTTATCCATATCAGTTTTTATTTTTAGGTTATTATATAATATATTATACAACAATTTTAAATCCTTAATTAAAAGGAATAGAAATTAACTGAACTATCGGAATTATTATAAATTTATAATAGATTTTAATTTAGTGATTAAAGAGACAACTGAAAAAGAAACAAAAAAAAGTTGTCATGTCCTTACGAGACTTTTAAAAAAATAAGTGCCGACCGCGAGATAATAACTTACAGGGAGGATAATATTACAATACTCAAATTAAATGTCAGGTTGTTTGTGGTTTTAAATCTTGCTAATCAATGACTTTTGACTTTCAATACTGACATAGATTATTGGTAAAGTAATAATAAAAAGATTTCTGCGGATTTTATTTGTCCCTCTTGTATAGATAGATTTAAGAAAGGAGAATTGTTGTGTGATACTTGTGAGAGATTGATATATCGGGACAAAAACGAGACAGTATGTGGTTGCGATTACCCCCTATACCAACAAAATACCTATACTCCCAGAGCAACCCCGATTTATGACAGGTTGGGAAATAGGGAACAGCATAAATTACATAAACAAAATAATAGGCTAGAAAAAAAGGTTAAAGATTTAGAAAGGGATGTGGAAATTGCCATAGAGGGTCAAGGAAAAGCCCAAAGCCTTAGGTAAACTTCAAAAAGAGCAAGTTCTAGCGGAAACCGAGGAGAAATGCAGAAGATTATCCAGTGAAAATAAAGAACTCAAAATAAAAGTATTAGAATTAGAAGAAGGATTTAAAAAATGTCATACTGAAAAAGAATATTTAACTAAACTGGTTCAAAATCTTAAATTTCAAATTCTAGAAAAAGAAGCCAAAATAGAGGTTATGCCTAAAAACTAACAGGAAAATAATTATTAAGAAAAATGACCAAGAGGAGCAAGATAGACAAAGTCTTTAAAAGAAAAATTATAAAATAAGAATATAGGAAATTAACTATTTAATTTTAATAAAGTAATATTTTTTTCATATTTTAAAGTTAGTTGTTGGTTTCACATTTTTAAAAAGCAGAAAATAATTATTCGATATGACAGCAGAAATAAAAAAGTTAACTCGGGATTACCTCAATAGTTTAGGTTTGAATTTACGGCAACTGAATTATGAGCGAAGAGATAAAATAGTTGAAATTAATAGCCAGAAAGGGTGGATAATTTTTAATTCGAGGTCTTTGAGGAAAGAGTGAAATACTGCAGGCACTTTTTATATAGACTCAGGTTATTCTTCCCCACTACTACAAAAACTTTTAAAAGAGCAAATAAAGGTTTATCACCGTAATAATTGAAGAGAAGATTTAAGTGGATGTTCCAATCTTGATTACATTAAGGTTAATTTTTTTGTTTGGGTGAGGTGTGAAGATTTAGACCTTAGATCAAATTGTTGAATAGCGGTAAAAAAAAAAGCCTTGGGGGAAAATTTCGGAACAACTACTTATGATTTTAATGATGTTGATTTAACCATGAACGAAGGTGATAGAAAAGTAATAGAAAATTGAAACTTAGACGATTTATTAAATGACCCTCAAATAAAAAATAGCACACTTCCAAAGGAAGAAGAACAAAATACCCCCCTCCCCCCCAAACCTAAAATTTCTCTGCTAGAAATTACATTTGATATTAATCAAGTGGAAAGAGCTTACAGTAATGGTTCACATAATTTTACAATAAAATTTGAAGAAACATTTATTTTCCAAGAAAAAAAAATTGAGCAGATAATTATTAAAGGAAGTAAAATTGATTCATTTTCCCAACAAGGTAAATTAGAAGTTGGAAAAAGAGTAGTTATTTCAGGTATTAAGATAGGCAAAGAATTAAGTTTACACACAGCTAATATATTCAATTCTGATGGTCTATGTACCTTGAAAATTAACAATGATGATTCTTTTGCCGAAATCAAATCGGTAACTAGCACTTATGGTGGGGTTTCAGCCAAAAATGAAGCCCTGTGGAAAGAGGAAAATAGTTTAGATCAATTAGCGATTGAACTTTTGGATATTATTGAAAAAAATAAACAGATTTGCCAAGAGGCTCAAACATTAGGATTGAATTTGCCGACTATTTCAAATGATGTTCTAAAACCTTTTCAGCAAGTTTTTTTTAAAGAATTCAATGATAAATTGCCTCTCGATAACCCGATAAACCGCGATGTTGATTCGGCTAATCAAAATGTTCGACAACAAAAAATGAATATCAAAGCCAATGTTTACAGGATTTATGACCGCAATATAAAAGCATTAACAGATGCCAAAAAAAATGAACCTTCGGTTCCAAATAACGAATTAGAAAAATTAAAAAATAAAGTCATGGTTGCCATAAATGAAGTATTGAGCGATAATAATAATTTACAAAATATTAATTTGACTACTTTCGAAAATGGCGAATACCTAAATTGAGAAAAAGATTTGTGGAAATTAACTAAACAGGCTGAAATAACCGCTTTTCAAAATAAATTTTTAATGCTTTTAAAAAAAGCCAGTCCGTCCGTGCCTTTTTCCCCTCCCCCAAAAATACCTTCGCCAAACAATCTGCCCGAAAATGGTAATGAGATAGATATCAGCGAAATTAAACAAGCTTCTTCTTTGGCAGAAGCAAAAAAAGTAGCCAAAAAAATAATTCGAAAATTATTCACTGAGTATGAAAATGTTAAAATAGAGGATTTAGAAGCAATGTGAGTTGACCGAGGAGAAATTTCTTGACTGAAACACCTTGAAAAATTAAATAATCGGGAACAAGTTATTGAATTTGTGCAAGATATGAAAAAGAGTTTGTCAAAATTATCCGCTCTCCAAAATCCTGAAATTTCTTCTCCGACCTCTAATTTTCCTTATTTAAATCTCTTGCTGGTTGGTCTTTTTTTCATAATTTTTATAGTTGGTTTGGTGCTAATCTTTCACTTTAACTCACCAAAAAAAAAAAAAACATTAAAAATTAACCGGGTTTTTTTGTAGATTTTAAAGGAAATAAAAAATACTTTATTATATTAGGAATTAAATGTCAGTATTTTAAAAACTTAAATCTCTTAAAATAGCGAAGGTTGAAATGAAAAAATAACTGATATTGATTTTGCATAGAGTAATATATTCCTTTGTGGATTTATTTATTTTCCGCATTATAAAAAAGTGTTATTTTACATAGTTTAAAACATTTAACCAAAAAAAAGAAAATTAAAAATAACGCTCAGAAAGAATTAATTTTATTGCGAGTTTTGAAAGGTCGGTAGTATAAGATTTAACCTAACCTTGCCAAGAAGTCTCTTTGTTCTATAACTAGGGGATGAATTGGCAAAAGTGCCAATCAGTCGTAAAATATACTATATATGGTTAGCCTATTAGATTTAGACAATAATAATCATTCAGTATTCTTGTTGTGATATCATTTAGTTCTAGTTATTAAATATCGGAGAAAAGTGATTGATAACTTGATTTCTCAAAGGCTTAAAGAAATCTTTGAGTATATAGCCAAAAGTTATAACATCTACTTACAAGAATGAAACCACGATGGAGACCATATACATTGTTTATTCAAAGCCCATCCGAACAGTGAATTAAGCAAATTCATCAATGCTTATAAAAGTGCTAGTTCTAGGCTAATTAAGAAAGAATATCCAATCACTAAGGAAAAATTATGAAAAGAGTATTTTTGAAGTTGAAGTTTTTGCTTGCTAACAACAGGAGGAGCACCTATCGAGACCATTAAAGAATATATTAGAAACCAAGGAAGTCATGAGAAAAAGTTATAAATATCGTTTGTATCCAAACAAACAGCAAAGAGAAATCATAGATAAGATATTAGAAACTTGTCGTTGACTTTACAATTACTTTTTGGCTGAAAGAAAAGATAAATACGAAAAAGAACAAGAGAGAATAAGTTATACCCAACAACAAAACTCTTTACCTAGTCTGAAAGAAACTAACCCTAATCTCCGAGGCATTTATTCCCAAGTTCTCCAAGATGTAGCCCGAAGAGTTAAAAAGGCTTTTCGAGGTTTCTTTTTGAGATTGAAAAGTAAAACAGGCGAAGCAGGTTATCCAAGGTTCAAATCTTTTGGGAGATATGACAGTTTCACCTACTCCCAAAATAATAACAGTTATAAATTAGAGCAAAGTCAGTTAAGATTAGCCAGTATTGGTAAGGTGAAAATTAAACTTCACCGAGAATTAGAAGGAGAAGTTAAAACCTGCTCCATTATCGTTAAGAATGGTAAGTATTATGCTTGCTTTTCTAGTGAAGTTGAACCTAAATTGCTCCCAAAAACAGGTAAAAAAGTTGGAATTGATTTAGGCTTAACTTCCTTTTTAGCTACTTCGGATGGAGAATTGAAAGAAGCACCCAAAACTTATCGAAAAGCCGAAAAAGAATTAGCAAAAGCAGGTAGAAAAGTTAGCCGAAGGATTAAGAGAAGCAAAAGGAGAAAAAAAGCCGTAATACTCTTGGCTAAACAGCATGAGAAAGTTAGCAACCAAAGGAAGGATTTAGCCCATAAATTAGCCAAAGAGTTAGTGGAAAAATACGATGGAATAGCCTATGAGAAATTAGCCATTAAAAACATGGTTAAGAATAGATTTTTAGCCAAAAGCATTAATGATGCTGGATGAAAATTATTTCAAACTATTCTTGCTTACAAAGTGGAAGAAACTGGTAAGCAGGGAATAGAAGTAAATGCTAAAAATACTAGTCAGATTTGTAGTGAATGTGATAAGCAAAGAGAGCAAAAACTCAAATTAAGTCAAAGGAAGTTCGCTTGCTCTTTTTGTCCGTATTCAGACAATCGAGACATCAATGCTGCTCGTAATATTCTAAAACGAACAGAATGGGTCGGTTCGACCCTTCAAGGAGCAGTGCCAGCAGGTGCTGTGAAGAATTGAAAAGCCCCCACTTCTATAAGTGGTGGGTAGTTCACTTATAGTGATATAAATGGCAGAGTATTTTCTTTCTAGGTTAGTTTAATTTATTTATTTTCCACCAATTTTAATTTTCTTCGAATGAAATAAATGAGATTCATACTTGAATTATAGTTCCGTTTTCTCCTAAAATTAACTATATAAGAATTAATAATATTTATTTATGAAAAAAAAACGCTCTATTTATTCACTTCAATTACCAGCCGGACAGGCTAAACCGGGACAAAAAACTACCTTTTTAGAGAAAAATGCCATGAAATTTTGTAAAGAATTTAACCAACAGACCAAAGAACTAGAAAGTTCCAAAATCCTAAATGTGAGAATAATAATTAGTGAGAATAAAGACTATCAATTTGCTATTCAAGGACAGATAACTTCCAATTTAATTAAAAAAGTCGGTAGTGAAAAAAAAACGCTCAGTGCGGAAGAAATTGAAAAAATCGCCCAAGAGAAATTACCTTATTTAAACACCACTGATATCGAAAAAGCCAAAAAAATTGTGGCGGGCAGCGTTCGTAGTTTCAAGGATTTTAAAATCAACTAGTATTATATTTTCTTAACAGCATTGAAAAATTCCTTGGTTTTTAAATACCATATTTATCTTGCTAGGCTTTGCTAATCGCTAGTTATTTTTTCTAGCGGAATATCCAAGTATTATCCAAAGTGGATAACTGTTGCCGATTTTTCAAAACAATCGGCTTTCGGTTTACAATTATTCTTATTTATTTTTATTTGAATATTAGGGGAGAATTTTCACTCCCCTAATTTTAGAAGTTAGATTTAGTGATTTTCTCGGCAATCTGGCGGTCAATTTCAGCAATCCTTCGGGAAATTTTTCGGATTTTCCTTGGCAAAAAAGGATAAACGAATAATAGTTTATAAATGAAAAAGAAGTTGGCTCAAAATCACAAGTAAAGGCAGAAATATCCACCAAGCCTTATTGCTAGTTCATTCTCGGTATAAGTAAACTCAGTTGCCTTTTCTCTAATTAACCATGAAAACGGGATTCAAATTCAAGCCCAACTACCTCATATAGAGTATTGGCAACAAACTTCTACTTTTTTTTTCCAAAAATGCTTTTTGTCCTAGTAAAATTTCCAATGAGTTCATATTATCCATTAAACACCTTTTTGGCTCCTTCGACTCCTACTTCTTTTACTGTTTCTCCAACTACTCCCTTAGCAGCGACTTCTGCTGCTCCTACACTGCCTCCAACTTCGAGTGCTGGCGCAATTGTTCCTGCGGCTTCTTTTCACTTTGGATTGCCAGTATCATCTCCAATGCTTTCCATTGCTTTGCCAGCAACTGCCCCAGTAGCCTGCTGGCGGACAAATAACCCCTGCGTTGCCATAATTGTACCTCCGACAGCTTTTGCTATTTTCTCATCATCGGTGGAAGCCGTAGAGGAGGAACTTTGTCCTTCTGTTTTTGCTTCTTCGGTTTTTTCTACGCTGGGAACTTCACTTTCTATTTCTCTAACTTCTTCTACTGGTTTTTTAATTTCTTGTGCGATAATTTTTTTCATAATTTTTATAAATATTGTGCTATTATCTTGCCTCAAATAGCGTGGCACCAGCATTCAGAAGGGGTCGCCCTCTCTAACTGTGCTGGCTCAGAACCTTACCGGTTTTTTTGAATAAGCCCGGAAAGGGATTTACTTTTTTGCTTACTAGAATTTTACTAGGGGCATATATATTGGCCCATAATTAAACTAGTTCTTTCTTTTTAGCAAAAAAAGTTTTTTACTTATACCAATTACTTTTGCTTTAATATTCTAATGGTGGAATTGGTAAGAAATCCGAAGGGATTGCGAAATTTATTTTCGTAAATCCAAAAGACTATTAGTAAAGACTAATAATCTAATTAAAATATTACTTTGCCCCTGTTTTGCTTCCGGTAAAGTTAAAAGTGTGAAGTTTGTTTTTTACTTTCTTATTTATCTAGAATTATAAGTTAGAGGGATAAATAAGAACCTTTTGTTTTTATCTTTTACTATTTTCTTTTTCATCATTATTATTTTATAATCATTTTATTTTGGAGTTGGGGGTTGGTTTTTTTAGGAAGCAATATACCGACAAAAATTTTATTTTTGTTTATCTTAGTTTTTATAATTACAGTAATTTATAGGAGGGTGAGCTTTCGTTTCTAAATTACTTATTATTTTCTAATCTCAATTTGTTTTTTTTCCACCGAGATTTATTATAGTTTGGATCAGTTAAGATTTTTTTTAAATAATAAAATTTGCTATATTTTTGGTAATAATTCTGTTTTTTTTTGATACTCACGGGCTTTTTTTTGTTTTTCAGTTAACAGTTCTTCTGGAATGGGTTTTCTTGGCATTTTTTAATAAGAATTAAGCCCTTTTAGTATTTCCTGCAATTTCTAAATGAAAAGGTATTTGTAATTTCTCTAAACAATTAGCCAACTCATCTAATTTCAACAAGTTTATCCGACAATATAAAATATTATCTAGTTTAGTTTGAGAAATTCCTAATTCGTAGGCTAAATCTTTCAAATAAATTTCATTTATTCTTTTGTATTTGGCTATATTTTGGCAAATTTCATACTTAATTTTTTCTGATTCGCTTGCGTTTTCCGGCAAAGCATAATTCCCTCCTTGATAATTAGGGTCGGATAACCTTTTAATAGTTTCTTCGCGGGTTTCTTTTCGATTATTTTTTATATTTACCATTTCTTTTTAATACAATAACAATTAACTACTATAAAAGAATTTTTATTTTCAATTTGTCAAACCAATTTATATTTTTTTCCTAAATGAATAATTTTTTTTAATACAAAGTAATCAGTAGTCAACTTATCCGGTTGAAAAGTTTTTTTATCAACAAATAATTTTAAAATTTCCAAAATTAGTTCATCGCTAATTTTAGGGTGTTTTTTTTGATAATGCTGACTAATTGCTACTTTGGAAAAGAAAAAACCATTTACTTCAATATTTAAGGTATAAATCTTTTTCTCTTCTTTTATCACGTTAATTTTACTTTACATTTATTTTTATCAACTTCTTTATTTCTCTATCTCTATCTACCACATTGAGAACAATTGAAAGAAAGAGGATTTATTTCTGTGCCTTTAACTACCCCTAATCTTCTAGGTTTGCCACAGTCAGGGCAAATTTTGCCCTGACATTTTCTATAAACTTCGAAATAAGTATTAACTCTTCCATAGAATTTCTTTCGACATATAGCGCATGAAAAACTTATGGAGCCAGTCATAACAACTTATCGTTTTTTATTTTTCTGGTTCAGGTTCCTCTTTGGGATTATTTTCCCGCAGGACTAACCAAACTATTGTGGCTAAACTTGCAATCGCTAAAACGCTTAAACCGATATTTAGATAAAAAGAAGTGTTATTCTGAGTCGATAATTCTCCAAATTTTTTCTCAATCATCTCGTTTCTAATATTTCCCACTTCGGAGGCCTTAACATTAACAATTTTGCCCTCGTAATCCGCAAATGAAATCCCTAACTTGTCAAAGACTATTTTATCATCTTTAACCATATCCTCTTTTTTAATTACACTTTCTCTCAGTTCATCCCTTTCGACTTTAATTGCGTCATAATCAGCCTGGGTAGGTCGGTTAATTAGTTCAGTTATTTTATCTAGAACTTTTTGTTCGTTAATTTCCGTTCCAGTTAATCCTAACCCCAAATTATTTATTTTGTTCAGTAAGTCGCTTACTGCTTGGGTAGGTTGCTGTTTTAACTCTTGAATTTTATTCGAAAATTGTTCTTCGGTCGCCTCTTCTCCTTCTCCTAACCCTAAATCTTTTTGGATCTTCTTTAATTTTTTCTGTAAATTATCTTGGTCAGCAGAAAAATTGTCAATCAAATCTTTTAAAGTTTTCCCAGTGGGAATCTGACTTAGATTTGCTCCGCCGAGTTTAGTGGCTAAATCGGTTTTTCAACTATCTGGCAAATCATTACCAGTTATGCCAAAAAAATCTTTAATACCTTTCTTTCACTCCCGAAAAATTTCGGTAGGAAGCGAAACAACTGCCGCGTCATTCAATTCATCACCGCTATCGAGAGTTTGAAGTTGGGTTAACTTCTCTATTCCTTTCAAATTAGTTTGCTGAACTCCACAACTTCTAAGGACTTTCAAATTAGGAACATTACCGAGATCAAGTTCATCTAGTTTTCTTTCGACAGGTCGATCATCAACATCAGTATCAAAACTAAAATCTAAAAAGAGTAAGTTGTCAAGTCCTGAACCAAGTTCTAATTTTTTAACTCCGCTATTTAAAAGAATAACTTCCCTTAACTTAGGACAATTTTTAATAACTAATTTATCCAATTCTCGCACATCTTCTAGATCTAATTCTTCTAATTCAGGAAAATCCTCTATTTTTAATTCACCTTTCAGTTCCTCCCTGGGATTAGTTGGCGAGAGTACTCCAACGGAAGATTTTACTCCTTCTATTCTTTTTCTAGTATTTTTGTCTATACCTAAATTATTTAACCATGTTTGTGCTTCTTGTGCTACCATATTTTATCATTATTTTTTAAATTTTCTGCTTTTTTATTAGTTATTTATTTGCTTCTATATTTGCTTCGAGTTTGTTAAATGCTTCGAGTTTTTCTTGTCTTCTTTTCTCTAATTCTAAACCTTCTTTAAATCGAGCTAAACTTTTATTTTGCATCTTCCTTGCTAAACTACTTCATATTGCTCGGGTCGTCTTTTGGGTTTGTTCTTGTTCTTTTTCTAATTCTTCAACTTTGGCAATTTCCTTTCTTATTTTCTCTAATTCATTATCATCGATTTTTCTTTCTTTTAATAAACCTGGCAAACCAAGTTCGGGATCATTAAGTTTAGTTTCATTCTCTCGAATTATTTTTCCTTCTTCTTGAATGAGTCCTTTAATTTCCTCCCCTGATTTATTTTCTAGTTCGTTTTTGTCAATTCCTAATTTTTCTGCCACTTCTTCTAACTCTTTTCTAACAATTTGTGAGAAGTTAATCGGATTACCCTCATTAGTTACAATATCTTCAATATAAGAAAGGTTTTGTAATCCAACTAACTCCATATTTGGAGGATTTCTAAAAACGCGAAGTTCGGTCAGTTTAAAATTTTTACTAATATCCAATCTATCTATTAAATTTCCTACACAATTTAATTTGTTCAGAAGTGGCAATTCTTCTAAACCGACTATTTTGGTAATTTTGTTGCAATAAACACTAATTGATTCGATTTTGGGGCAATTTTCAATAGTTAACGAAGTTATTTCTTCCGTATTATCTAAATTTATTATCTCTAAATTCGGATAGTCTCTTATTACTAAATCACCCCTTAACTTCATAGTCTTATTCACAGGATCTCCAAATATTCCTTGTTTCTCTTCTTTATCTTCTTCGTAATAATAATTTAATCATTCTTGAACTTCCATTTCCTCTTTTTGCTTATTCTCTTTTTGCTTATTCTTTTTTGGGATTGAAGCGAGACTAATTTTAGAACTTTTCGATTCTTCATTTTTACTCTCTAATTCTTCAAGTTTTTGTTTTAACTCCTTGTTTTCCTTTTCTAGTTCATCAAAAATTTCTAGTTTTTGTTTTTGATTGTCAGTTAACTCATCTGACTCCTCGGAATATCATTCGTCTAGATAAGATTTTAATCATACCTTAATTAATATCTTTCCCATTATTATCTTATATTTATCAATAGTAATCGGCCTATTATACAATTTATGCAATTTCTCGCATTCTTTTTTTAAATCATCATCATTACTTTCAGTTTCTTGCAATATTTGTTCAATATGTTTCGAGAGTACCTCCCCCTCTAGATTTTTATCTGCCGCTTTTTTGACTAAGGCTAGAATTTTTCTTACATTTTTAATTACTTTTTTGTTACCATTTATAACTTGTGACGTTTGTATACTTTTTTTCAAATCCGCTTTTAAATTTAATAATGAATTTCTTTTAACACTTTTATCGCTAGAATTCGACTCTTCGATTATTTCTCTTATTTTCTTCATCTTATTCTCACTTCCTGATATGAAAACTTGCAGTTCTTCAATTACACCTTGTTCTTGTTCCTTCTTTACTTTTTCTAATTCTTCCGCTTCCTCCTTTCTTTTCATTAAAAATGTTGAAGATTGCAAATCATCTAATACTTTACAAATAAATTCATTCTCTTCATGACACTTTTTAGCATCATTATTTTCTTTATCTTCATTGTTAATAATGAAATGTGAATTTTCCTCGACTGCTTCTTTTGCTAGCGTCAATCATTCAAGTACAGTTTTTGCGTTAGTAAAATCTTTATTTTTTAAAAATTTTATTCGTTCTTCCTTGGGACTATTTCTCCCATTATCAATGTTATTATCTTTCATATTTTTTTTATTAATTAAAATTTATTTTTGTTGAAATTTTCTGGTTTTTTTGCGGTTAACTTACTTTTGTCAAACTTGTAAGTTTAATTTACTTACAGATTAAAAACCTACTAGTTCAACATCCGCTTTATTTAATACATAGTTATATTTACTTACTTGATTCTTCTAATTCGTTCTTTAACTGTTTTATCACATTTCGCAATTCTTCTAATTACGATTTGTATTTTTATTTATGTTAACAATCACCACTCGGCAACTAAGCCAATTTATATCTAACTAGGGGTGATTGATTTAGAATTATTATGCTAGTTAGATATTTCCCTTTCGTTTTGACCATAGGCATATTATTAATTATATTTATAGTATAATTCAAGAACTCTATTGCATTTTTTTTAATTCTCTCACCATCTTTACTTCGATTAAAAACTGAATTATTCCCATTTTTTCTGCCTATAAACACCTATAATTAAAATTTATTATTTACTACTTTTTTTCAATTTTTTTAATCTCAATTTCCTTAAAAATACTCCAATAGTTATTAAATTCACTATTAGCACAGTCAGTCAAAATATTCTTTCTGGTTGCCAAAAACCAGTGGGGTGAGAGGGAGTTAAATTAACTGCGGGACTGAATTGGGGGGTTAATTGTTGTGCTAAGAAAGTTTGCCGAATCTGAACTATTTGGGAATATTTAGTAGCAACTTGAATTTGCTTTTGAGTAGCCAAATCAAAGGCTGCTCCAAATAACTCGGTTAAATAGTTTAATTCTAATTGCTTGATAGTCGCTAAGTCCTCTCCCTTAGAAGGAACTGGTTTTTTAGTGGCAAGTTGGCGTTCTAATTCTTGAATAGTTGTTTGGGCGGTTTGATAAGCATTTTTTCAATGCTCGTCGGGGTCAATGTTCTGGGGAGTAATTGGTGGTTTATTAATTAATTTCTTAATGGTTTCGATAACTTGACTAACTGAACTATTCGGAGCAAGAGAATTCAATTCTGGAATTTGGCTAATGATTTGAGCAATAATATTGCTCTCTGTTTTCTGATACTTTTCAGCCTCTTTTTTGCTAGTTCAAAATCAGATTCCGGCAATTACTACCTTAACTAAGCTATCTTGGTTATTTTCTCGACTATGACTATTTTCGGATTGAGTATAGTCTTGTTGGGCTTGGGCTAATTTTTCCGCTAATTTTCGGTAATCTTCTTTTCGTTGTTGTAATTCCTCGCCGATTTTGGTTAGATTTTCGGTTTGTTCGCTAATTTTTACTACTTGTTGTTCCTTTATTTTAGAAACATGAAGTAAATTATTTTCTAATTGGCTTATTTGGCCTTGATAAAGTCGACTTTGAACCTGGGATTTAGTTAATTCAGTCTCGGTTCGGTTTAAATTGGTTTTCTTTTCTTTTAATTGCTCCTCCGAATTAGTTAATTTTCCTTTCAAACTATCCAGTAAGTCCGCCACCTTTTTGGCACTTTGTTTGGGAAAAGTTTCGGTTCAAGCATTAAGTTTATTTTGAATAGTCCCTAATTTTGTAGTTAATAATTTTTGAGTGTTTTTTATCTCCCTGGCGGTTTGGTTAGTAAATTCAGTGGTTCATTTGGATAAATCGTCCACTACCCGTTTTTTTTGCTTCAATAGTTCCTGATAATCATTTTGGGTAGTATTCAATTTCTCATTTAAAGAAGTAATTTTCATTTTGGCTTCTGTTAACTCTTTGGGCGTTGGTCGGGCTAACAAACTGGCTAAATTTTCTAATTTGGTTTGGTTTTCTCAGTTTTTTCAATCAGTTAACCCAAATTTTTCGGCAATTTCAATTTTTTGGGAAGTGGCGGATAATTCTACTTTGGTTCGGTTATGTTCCCTTTGTTCGGTTAAAATTTGTTCCTTTAATTCATCCCTTTCGGATTTAATATCTGTCAAGTTAGTTTGTAAATCCGCATAAACTTGCTGGGTTGGTCGTTGACTTCAATCTTTTGTTCATGCCGTTTTAGTGATATTGATATCCGGACGAGTTTTGAGTTTAGTAATCTTTTCCTTTTGGACTTTAATTTTATTTTCTAATTCCTTGATTCGCTTTAATTCTTCCTTTCAATTATTTGGTAAATCAAGCGGTCTCTGGTTATCTTTTAGTTTATCATAATCCCCTTGGGTAGGTCTTTGTATTAATTCTTTAATCTGTTCTTTTTCGGTTAAAAGTTCACTTTGAAGTTTTTCGATAGTTGAAAGAGCATTATCCTTGTCAATTAATAATTGCTGATAATAAGCAAAAGAAATATCCGGTCGAATGTCCCTTTGTTTTTTATAACCCTTAATTTCCGCTTTTAAGTGGACTATTTCTAATTTATCGCGGTCTTTTAATTCTCATAAATTATCATTCAGTTTATTTATTTCGGTAGTAAGTTCATTGATTTCCTCTTGTTTGTCCTCTAATTCCTTTCTAGTTGGTCGCAAAGAATAATCCCCATTTCACTCTGCTAGGGTGATATTTGGACGGTTGGCTTCAATAGTTAGTAATTTATTATATCTGATTTCCGTAATGTCGGGACGTTTACTTAGTTCAGTAATTTTCTTGCCACGATTTTCAACTCTGGTTTGGAGAATTTTAAGGTTTGTTTGTTCTTTCTTGCTAACAGTATTTAATTCGCTAATTTTCTCCGTTAGTTCAATGTTTTTTTCTCCTAATTGGTGAAGTTCAGTTTGTAATTTTCCTTCCTCGACCTCGGCATCACGAATTTGTTGAGCCAAATCAGCCACATTACTTCCGAGTTTCTTTATCCGCTCCTCATTTTCCGAATTACTTTTGGTTAGTTTGTCAGTAGTATTACCATGCTCGGTTTGCTCTTTTTCATATTTGTCCTTTCAGTCATTAGCCTTTTCATTTAATCTAGTGGTATTTTTACTATAATCTAATTCTTGCTTTTCTAATTTAATAGATAATGCTTTAATTTCGCTCTCTTTTCCGGTAATAGTGCGGTTAACCGAGTTTAGATACTCATTTCATTTATCAAGGGTAATATCCGGTCGGTTGTCTCTTTGCTCGATAAGTTTATCGCGTTCGGTTTCCAGAGCAGTCAAGTTGGTTTGGGGAACTAATTTATTTATTAATAAGTCGGTTTCATTATGGGGGTTAATTAATCCTTTATTGATTCATTCTCGTTCTTTATTCTCCACCGCTTCCTTTACCTCCTTGGTGATATCAACTTCCTTAAATTTATACTCCTCTTTATACTTTTTAAAATTATTTTCAAGAGTAGTTTGATTAGTTTTCAATTCTCTATTTTCTTCTTCTAATCGAGGAATTTGCTTTAATTTTACTTCCCAATTCAACGGCTTTTGGTTCTTTTTTAATGCTTCATACTGAGTAAGCGTAATATTGGGTCGGCTATCTCGGGCGGTTTCTAACTTGGATAAATTTAATTTAACTTCCGTGGGGTCTAACAAACCTTTCTCAATTCAGGCTCGGTCGTTCGTTCGGAGTGTATTTTCCCGCACTACTTTTTCAATTTCGGCGACTTGTTCCGGGTTTTTATATTCAGCAAATTCCTCTGTTTTAATATTCGGACGCTGAGAGAGGTTAGAAAATTGCTCGGCTTGTTGCTTTCACTCCCGCACTATCTTTTCTCACTCGGTTAGATTTTCAATACCTAACTCGGTTAGACCAGTAGCATAATTTTTGAGCTGGTGCTGATAATTATCCTGTTCCGTTTTTACTTGGGTGGCGGTTTGATTGCCAAATATAGTAGTTCAGGTGGTTAATTCTTCATTAATTTTATCTCTTTCGGTAGTTAAATCACCTATTTGTTTGACTAACTTATTGTGTTCGGTCAAGGTAATATTAGGACGATTATCCGGTTGGGAAGTTAATTTATCTATTCTCTCTTCTAAACTAGTGATAGTTTGGTTAGCCACCTTTAACTCGGAGCAGAATTCTCGTTTTTGCTGAATTTGCTTCGCTATTTGCTGGTGACGAGTTTGTAATTGAGTTTGAAAACTTTTATTCCTTTTTTCTTGATTTAGTAATTCATTATATCTTTCAGCACTGATATCAGGTCGAACCGAGAGTTGACTATTTTGAGTTTCTAAATTAGTTAAATCAGTCTTTAAATCGCAATTTACTTGCTCCAACTCAGTAATTTTCTTTAACCGCTTTTCTCAATCGCCCGGTAAATTTTCTGGTTTTTGGTTCTCTTCTAACTCGACAATTTTCCCTTTGGCGACTTCATATTTATCTTTTCATTCTCCGTTTGCTTTTTCACTGGTAACTAATTTTCTTTGTAAATTTTTAATTTTGTGATCTGATTTTCGGACAATTCTGGTCTGTCGGTCTAATTCAGACTGAGAATTGATTAGGTCGTTTTCGGGTAAAACAAACTCGTTGGCGAGTGAGATTCGGTTTTCTAATTTTTCCTCGGTCTGTTTAAAGGAGGAACTCATTCATTCTGTCCGATAAAAATCTGGTAAATTAGGATTAGGACAAGTGGAATCCAACTGATTGGGGTTTTGGAGAGCCGCTAGAACTAATAAATTATCAGAATAATCAGAAATGTTGAGCGGAGTGTTTAAATTTAGTTGGTTAGCAGTTGAACCAAAAATTTGTTGATAACCTGCTGCTAAACCATTCAAGGATAGACCGAATAAAATAGTATTACCAGTTGTTTTTAAAACTTGGGCTACTTTGGGTTTATTCAGAAAACCATTTCAAGAAAGCGAAGTCGAATTACCAGAAACAGTTTCAGAATGAATAAATGGTTTTTCTTTTTTGCGAAAGTTTTTTAATTTCTGGCGAAGCAATTCAAGTTGTTTTTCTAAACTAGTAATTTTGTCATCTTTGGATTTTCGCCCTTCTTCTAACTCTTTTTTAGTCTTTTCTAATTCCCTTTGTAATTCGCAGAATTGGAGGGAAAGTTCATTGAACATTTTTTTTCAATCAGTTGGGTGAAATTTATATAAATGGTAATCGAAATATAAAGCCTCTATATTGTAAAAATTTAATACTTGTTCCGGAATTAATTGCTTATTATCTCGTAGTCAGGCGAAAAAATCCGGAATTTCAATGAATGTTTCTTCGTTACCTCCTATGATATTAATCCACTCTTTACATTCCTCATAAGTAAAATTTAAACTTTGCCATTGGCGGACTAATCGAGGGGTAAAAGCAGAATGAATATCCTTTCAATCTTTTTTGCTTGACGAAGCATCTCCTTTCAATTCCATCTCTGGTTTTTTTAATTTTTTCAACTGCTTTATTACTTCCTGTAAATGTTCATTACTCATCATCAAACCCATAATTCTAGCCTGCAATTCCAAGTTTTTATCGGATAATTCATGATGTTCTTCAATATTACACTCTTCTCCTAATTTCGGAGATTTTTCGTTACTGGCTAACTCGGCTTTTAACCTTGCTATTTCAGCGGATAATTCACTATTTTCTGGTATTTTGGCGAACAATGTTTCAAGGGTATCCATCCAATATTTTGTTCTTTCTCGCAATTCCCTCTCCAATTGTTTTTTATCAAACCGGGTATCTTTGTTTTCTTTCTCCACTCGGAGAAGCCTACTTTCTAACTTCTCAATACGAGAAATTTTTGCTTTTATTTCCTTTTCTAAATCTATATGAAAACTATCATTACAACCACTTTCCTCAGTTTGTTGTCTCTTAATAAATTTCTTTAATCTCTCGATTCTTTCCATTCCATCTCTAATTAATTTTTCGTTTTCTTGTCCTTCTTTTTTTAGACCTTCATTTTCCTCCTCTAACTTAGCAATTTTCTCCCGAGCCTCTTTTAATTCAGAAGTTAATTCCTCATTCCTTTTACTACCTCGGGGCGGTATTCCTTTTGGTTCGGCTGGTCTTTCAATCGGACTTGGTGTTTCAAATGAACTAAACGAAGAATCGGAATATTCGGAATCGCTCCGGATATGGTGAAATCTTTTGGCTCGATCTCACTTTCTTTCCATTTCCTCGCTTTCTTGGGTTTTTATTTTATTTTCTAATGCTCTTTTTTCTCTTTCTATTAGGAGGGTTTGTTCTTGTATTCAGTTTAATTTGGCTTCAAAACCGAATAATAAACTTTGTTTTCTACTATTTTCGGAAATTAAACGGGCGATGGAGTTTTCCTGTTCCATTTTTTGGCGAGCCAAAGAACGAAGTCTAGCGACACATTTTTTCAGTAATTTATTTATTGGGACTTTTTGGGCTTTTTCTAAATCCGAACTTTGGATTAGTTCGTTTAGTTCTTCCCCTAATTCAGAAATTTGGTTAAAGTTATCGGATATTTCTTTTTCTTTTTCTTTTTCTTTTTCTTTTTCTTTTTCTTTGAAGAGTTCATCCCGTAATTTTTCCTTACTGCGGGCTAGTTCATCCATCTTTCTTTCTAATTTGTTTTGGTTGTCGAGAGTAATCTTTAAATTATAGAATCTTAGTTCTAATTTGGCTAGACTTCGTTCAGCCCGTGCTTTTTTTTCAAGTAATTTTTCTATCTCTCAGTTTAGGTTCTCAATTGCCTTATTTTTTTCCTCGTCTAATTTCTCTAATTCGACTTCGGAATTTTCTTTTTCGGAGGTCAGAACACTATCCTCTATATTTTTGTTAAGCTCTGCAACCAATTTTGTTTGTTCTTCAATTTTCACTATTATTTCCTCAATCTCCTTTTCTATTTTGGCTTTTTTGGAATTTTTTTCTTTAATTTGTTCCTCAACATCTTTATACTCCTCATTAGTATTCTCTCTTAGAGTAGCAAAACTATCCTTAATTTCACCACTATCCATCTTGGCTTCTTCATTTCCGATAGCGAGATTGAAAATTCGTTCCCTCTCAGCAAAAATTTGGTTCATGCTGGAAGCCAAACTTTCTACCGAAACTTGGTGCGGAGAGCGGGGAAGGACAGAACCAACCACCGCTTCCGTTTTGGCTTTTTCGCTATCAACAGTAAGGGTTTTAGCGAGTTCTTTTGTGTTTTCTATAATTTCTTTTTGCTCATCCGACAAAAATGAAAAAAATTCCTCATCTTCGCTATTGCTTAATTCCTCCTCCGAAGCGATTTCAGTCGATTTTATTAAAAGTTCTAAATCTTTCGGAAGTTCAATTTCGTTTAAGGCTTCGCCGATTTCCTCCCGAGCGGCTTTTCAATCCGTTTGGGCTTGGGTAAAAGCAGTGATTAAATCAGTTAAAATTGTCTGCTTACTTTCTGAATGTGATTTTAATTTTGGCTCAGGCGAAGGCAATTTTTCTCCTCGGTCGGTTGAAGTTTCGGTTTCATTATTCGGAGTAGTAGAACCGGAATTTATACCTCGCGTCCTAATTTCCTCCCATAATCTCGCATTTTCACTGACTAACTCTCGGTGTTCTTCAACTTTACATTCGGACTCCGATTCGGTCAGTTTTTTGGCTATTATTTGAGCCTCTAATTCCTTAATTCATTCCAGCAAAGAACCATCTTCTGGTAGTTCGGACAAAAGGCTATTGATATGAGCCGCCCAATTAATCAAAACAGAGCGGAGTAAAGGAAGTAAATCGTGATTTTTTTCATCGACTAATTGTTCAATTTCTTTATGTAAGTCATTAATTCTCCTTTCGAACGCTAATTCTTTTTCTCCTCACTCTTTTTCTTTCCTTTCTAACTCTATTTTGATTTTATTTAATTCAGTCAACAAATCATCATTAAACCGGCTTATTCGCTCTTTCTCCCTTTTTAAATTATCGTATTCCTTGGGATAAATGATAGGAGAAGAAATCAAAGAGGAGCCGATTTTGCTGTCGGTAGTAGATTTTAACGAATCATTCGAATCTTCGCTTCATTCTTTGGAATGAGTTGATTTCGGACTTTTTCTGGTAAAACTATCAGTTCTTTTTCGTCTCTGGATTTTTCCCATTCGGCTGTTGGACCTGCTTGGGAATTTATCTGAAAAATAGGAACTGATTTCATCACCTAAAATTATACCTCCTTTTATCACCGGACTAATCGGAGAATAGGCTAAATCAAGAGAATTGCTTCTTGTTCTTCGTTTTTTTTCGGCTTCGGACAAAATATTTTCCGCACTGGTAAGTCGCGATTGAAGGTTCAAATAATCTTCCTTGGTAATTTTTTCGGTTCATTCCGCTCCATCGTCGCCTATGTAGTCTAATTCTAAATATTCTTTCCTATTCATTACCACTTCGGCTCCCAGTTCACCAATATATTCATTTAGGAGTGCGATTTGCTCTCTTAGTTTTTTGTTTTCCGCTTTTTCGATTTCTACTTCTGAATGTAAGGTTCTTAATTTTCCGTATTGTTCGACCGAGTTTTTTGTTCGCTCCTCTGATTTTTTGTTTAAATCTTTATATTTTTTCTCTCAACCTTCGACTTTTTCCCTTAAACTAAGAATATGGGTCTTAAAATCTATTTTTTCTTTTCCTCACTCTTCTTTCTCCTTTCCGAATTCAACTTCTTGGACTTTTAATAATTTATTTTCTTGCCGGTATTTTTTTATAATATCCGTTTCTTTTTTATCTCTTTCGGCTTTAAACTTTTCAATTTCGCTCTTTAACTCTATATTTTCCGAGTTTAGATGAAAATTTTCTTCTCCGGATTTTCTTAATTCTTCGCTTCATTTTTTTTCATTTTCTAAATGTTTTTTTGCTTTGTGTTCAAGTTCTTCATTTTCCCCAAATAATTGGCCGACATTTTTTTGTAAATTGCCGAATTCTTGGCTAATTTTTTCTAAACTTCGGCGGTAGTCAATTTTTTTATACTCTTCAAAAATATTATCAGTTTCTTTTTGGAGTATAGAAAAAAAATTTTCTAAAATTTTCGTTTCGGAATCTCCGGGAAATTTTTCTTTTTTCTCTTTTAGTTTTTTATCAATTTTCCAAGGTTCCGCTGTTGTTTCCTCAAAATAATTTTCTATTTCTTCATTTGATACTTTCAGTTTACTTAGATAAATATAAGTTAGAACTGTTTTAAAATTCCCTTTTAAATAATTTAAGCGAGGACTAATCGGGTGAGATGAAATCGGAATCATGTTGAGTTCCGCAAGTTGCTCTCTCTCTCTCTCTCTCTCTGCGTCCGCTATCTTTTTAATTTCTTGTAAAATATATTCTTCATTTATTTCGATTTCTTCTTTTATATTCATAATATTTATTTTAAATATATTACAAGAAAAAAGGAATTTTAAAATTAATGAGGCGATGGAATTAGATAAAACAGGAAAAGTTTTGACCCCCACCTCGGAAAAGGAGTAGAAGAGGAAAATAGTTTAAACTCGTATATAATCACCATTAATAATATAATAAAAATTCAGTGAAAATATGTTCTTTTAATTAATTTATTACATTATGCAAAATTAATGTCCGCTTTTTAGTTTGAATTACTATGTAATTTAGTTTTATTAAAAAAAACAGACAGTTAAAATGAATAGCGTAATAAATCCTTATGAATACTAATGATATATTATATTATTAGAGTAGTTTATTATAACTTTTTAACCTATTTTTATTTCTAGTCTATATACAAGCAAAAAGTATATGTCAGAAACTAATAAGTTAAAAAAAGGGGTTCCTACTAACCATCAAAAGAAAATAGTAGAAAAAGATGAAATAACTTATTCGAAAAAGGAAACTGAAAAACAACTAATCACCCTAACCGGAATAACCACCAGCCAAATTAACCAAGCCTTAAAAATCAAAAATCCTTATCCAGCCCGAGTATTCTTAAAAGTAGATAACCAAGAGCAAGATATACCTGTTTTTTTTCGGATTAAAGACCAGAAAGGCAATTATATCCGACCCAAAATTAAAAAAGGTTCTTTTCTCCAAGTCCAAGGGCATTTTTCAATCGGAACTGTTTACACCAAACAATCTGAAAGAAAATCCTTTACAGCCTATTCTTACCAACTCCAAAAACTAAACCAACAAATAGAAAGTTATGGAAAAAAGTAAAGAATTAATTGGAATTGTTAAGGATAGGAAATTAGACCAAGTTCGAAATAAGAAATCCGAACATTTAGGCAATCAATACTGACGGTTAGCCGTAGAATTAGAAAACGAGGAGCAAATAAAAGAAATATTAGTTTTTAAAGAATGATTAGAAAAGGAAAACATTTGGCAAGTAATCGAACAAAGGAAATATTTAGGCAAACAATATTTATTTAAAGTTCAAAGGAAACCGGGAGCCGGGCAGTTTTTCCGGTTATTGGATTGGGAAATATTAAACCATGAAAAGAATTAAACAGATAGAAAAAAAACTCCGTCATAACTGCCCTGCTTGTCAAGCCTCTTATACCCTTTTAGAAACTCACTTAACTCGAAAAGATAATCAGTCCTGTTTGGTTAACTGTAAACAAACTTGGGAAAGCATTATCCATAAATACTGCCAAGAAAAAGTTTTAGGGCAAGAATTAGAGCAAGAACAAAAAGATAAAGAAAATATTAACGATTATGGGAGCCATTAATAAAAACATGAATGGCATATCCTTTGAAAATAAGGACTTATTAAAAGATTTCCAATGCTCTAATTGCCACTTATTTCTAGATGATAAAGATATCCAAGATGAAAATTATTCTTTCTGATTTTCGGATTATGCTAACAAAATTAGCAAGACCTATAACCAAAGCCGACCACTTTACGAAGTTAATTTTTGACTAAAAGCAGTAGACCATGAACATTGCTCCGAATATGAAAAATGCCAAAGTTGCTCCTCTTATTTTCGAATAGAGGAAGTAAAAGAACAGGATGATAATTATTACTGCTTAGATTGCTACCAAGCAATAAAAGACAAGAAATTTTAAAAATTTATGAATAACACTAACAATATTTATCAAAAATTAGAGCAAATCCAAAGTAAACTAACCCATTTAACCAAATCCGAACAAAACCGATTTCAGCATTATAAATATGTTTCGGAATACCAAATCCTAACCATTTTAAAGCCTTTATTGGCTGAAACTAAATTAATCTTATTACTTTCGGACACCAAAGAAAGTTTTAGTAAAGAAAAGCAAGATAAAGAATGAATAATCCAATACCAAAAGCAAGCCATTTTAATTAATAGTGAAAATCAAACCGAACATTTAACCTTTCACTTTTGAGCTACCGGGCAAAATACTGATATTGCCAAAGCCAAAGGTTCAGCTGAAACCTATGCCATTAAATATTTCTTACAAAAATTATTCCTAATTCCCACTTCGGATAATTTAGATCCGGACAAATTAGATACTAGCAAGCCCAAGGAAATAGTGGCTACTAAACCCCTCACCGAAGCCGAAAAAGAGCAAGTTAAACACTTTTTAAACAAAAATGTCTATGGAAAGCCTTAGCCTTATATTTTTAACCATTCTAATTTTAGAAAACTTGCTCTTACTAACTCTAATCCTAATCTGACTAAATCGGCACTGTAAGAATTGCCAAAAGGTAAAGTGTCTAGAAAGAACCTTCAATAAATTATGTTCTAAGTGTAAAGGTAAAGCCTTTCAAACTCCAAAAGTCCAGCAACATACCGAATTATAAATAATATGAATAACCTAACTAAATACACTAATTATTTAAAAAAGAAAAATTTAGCCTCTACCACTATCAAAAACTATCTCCAACTTTATCAAAAGTATCCCCACCAAAACTTCACTACCCCTAATATTCAAAAGTATTTCAAAAATATTCTCACTAAATATGAAGCTGGAACTTTGAAACTAATGAAAGAAGCCTTAAAATCTTACGGCAAATTTAAAAAAGCAAAAATAGATTGGGAAAGAATAAGTTGAATGCTTCCTAAACTAGGTAAGAAGTTTTTTAATACTATCAAGCAAGAGGAATTAGCAAAAATAAAAGCAGTTAGATTTGAAAGGGAAAATGAAATTTACCAAAGAAATAATCTAATTTTAGACTTCTTATTCTATACTGGTTTAAGAGTGAGTGAATTAGCAAACATTAAGCATCATGATTGAAAACAAAAAAGCATTCGAATATTAGGCAAAGGAAATAAAATGAGATATGTTTTTGTCCCCGAGTGATTAACCATTAATTTTCAAGTTAACTCTTCTAACCATCTTTTTCTCACTAAAAAAGGGAGCCGATTAACTCCCCTAGCCATTAGTCAAATGATAAAGAAAAGAGTAAGATTAGCCCAAATTAAAAAAAATATTACCCCTCATAGTTTTCGAAGAAGTTTTGCTACTCTTTTGAATAATAAAGGAACTAGTTTAACCACTATTCAAAAACTATTAGGACACTCTAATATTGAAACTACTTCCAATTATATTCACAATGATTACGATTATCTTTATCAGGATTATAGTAAGTTATGAAAAACACCTGAAATCAAAGAAACTTATGCCCATTAAAGACCCAGCAAAAAGAAAAGAATACCAAAAAGAACTAATGAGGAAAAAGAGGGCTAAATTGTTAGACCCTGAATTAAATGTTAGTCCCCGATTGTTAGACCCTAACCAAAAACTAACCGAAAATGTTAGTCCTGATAATTTGGTTAGTCCCTCCCGTGTTAGTCCCGTTAGTCCCAGAGGTGAAATGTTAGACCTTGTTAGTCCTGAAAAAGTTGTCGAACCCGTTAAATGTCTCCGTTGTCCCGAAATAGAAAACAGTATCAGCAATTTTACTAATCTTTATCAGCGAGAGCAAGAAAAGAATAAAGAACTAACCAAGGAAATAAAAAATAGCCGGCAAGTTATTCAAGAACAAAGTAAATTACTAACCGAGCAAAAGCAATCTAATAAAAACGAACTTTGTTTTCACTGTCAAAAATATCCTGTTCCTGACCGAGGAGAGGCTTATTGTTTAGTTTGCTCGGAATGATTAAAAGAACGACAAGAATGAAAAGAAAGAGTATTTAAAAGAGATAAGATTATTAAAGAGTTAGAAAAACCCATTAATCCCACCATTGAAAGGTGAAAAACCGATTATTTTACCTTAGAGAAAAAAACTAACCACCAATTATCCGAAAAATTGGAAACCATTAACCGATTAAAGGAAAAATTAAGGAGTTTAGCCAGTCAAAATCAGACAGGAGAGCAAAAGTATACCAGTTCAGAAAACCAAGCCAAAACCCAAACAGATTTAAATAATCTAATCACCAAACATACCAATTTCCAAAGCAGTCAGCATATTTACAGTGAAAAAGATAGAAAAGAAAGAGAATTTTTAAAGAATTTATTAAATAAATTATGGTCTTTTGCTAGTTAGACCTTAAAATAAATTAGACTTCTGCTATCAGCCTATTAGGAAACTAATGGGCTACTAGGAGAAAGTAATTTTCTCTCCTACGAAAAAAGTTAAGTTCAGTTTTTAAAACTGATAAACGACCATAAAACAATATCTCTCTGTAAAATGAGAGTGAAGGAGGATAATGGAAGCCTCTGGTGAAAACTGTTTAATTAACTTTTTTACCCGTGGAAAACGAGACACGGCACAAGGAGAAGAACATTTTTTTTCCGATGGAGCAACTTTTTCCATCTCTCAGGCATTTTTATCTATGGTTATTATCATAAGACTTATGAGCCTAGCGAATAAGGATTGTGAACTCTACCATAGAACTCTATGACTGAATTATGGGTTTGAGGATAAAGGGTTCGACCGAAGGGAGAAGGCTTTACAAGCGAAAAGCGTAAGAGTATAGAGGGGGTTATTTTTTTTATTAGGGGGAGATTAGAGATTATAAAAAGGAGGTTCGGAGTAAAGTTTATATTTATTTTATAAATAATAAAAGGAGAGAGGGAAAATAAAAAAAATGATTGAATGATAAAAAAAGAGAACCATCACCACCATCAAATTAAAAAAAATTTATTGATATGAAATGTTCTGACTGTTATAAAATTCTTCCCTTAAAGTTAATGAAACAACGGAAGGAAAAGAAGTGATATTGCTTTATCTGCTACCAAGAGAAAGAGAACCAAAGAATTGACTGATTAAAATACTGGTTGAAAAATATTACTTACTCAAAAGGAGAAAGAGTAAACAAAAATACCAACAGGCTCTAAAACAACTTGACCCCTTGGAATGGTTAGAAAAGAACCAATCTAAAACTAAAATACCAAAGAAAAGATTAACCTTTTATTAAATAATTAAGAAAAAATATCAGACCGAAAAAGTTTAATATCTACCTCTGATATCTCCCTTGTATTACTTTATGCAAAATTATTTTCCGCTTTTGCTAAACAAAATATAAGTCATTTTAGCAATCAATAACTATTTAATTTCATTCTGACTATCACCTTCTAACTTCTTATATTCTCTTAAATTTTGTTTAGCTAATTCATTATAAACTCTGCCTAATAGCAAAAGATTAATCTTTTTATTCTTGCCTTCTTCTAATTCTCCTAAATCTAAATCTTTTAAGAAATTAAACAAATCAATCTTCTTCTCATAAGGGCTTTTATCAGTATAAACAATACGACTTATTTTTTTAACCATTACATATTCTAGATTGTTAAAACATTTAACTTGTTCTCTTTTTGCTACACCTCCTCCATTTCCTCATATTGTAATATAAAAACTTTTGCCACAATGGGAACAGTAAGTTAACTTTTTAGTCATGGTAGTATTATTTTTATATTATAAATTTTAGCAAATCTATATACTAGTGATATGGTTTAGTAGATGTAAATTATCATGTAATCAGATAGTGTAATTGTGACCATTAACATCTCTTATTTTAGTTATTTTTAATGCTCTGGACATATAGATAATTTTACATAAAAATAATTAATATGGAAAACGTAAACAACAATAAATACTCAGATAACAGAGAGAGAGAGAGAGAGCAAATTCAAGCAGAAATTAGAATTGAACTAGAAATTAGTATCTTGCGCAATCGATTAAGGTATAAAGAACGAGAAAAAGATAGGATATGAGAAAGTTTTTGGTGAATTTGCTGAATTTTTCTCCCTCTTCTTGGTTTAATTATAATGATAATCACTGCCATAAGCAAAGCGAACAAAAGCTCCCGACTAGAAAGAGAATGTCGAGAAATTAGAGAACAAATATTTGAACTAGAAAGAAAAATGCATGAAGAAAGATACAATAAACAATTTAAAAAATAAGGTAAGAAGTTATAAGTTTACACCACTCCCATAAGTTTTAAAGGTTAGGTCATAAACTTTTTGAGAAATATCTTCTCCATAGTTATTATCAATAATCTCATGAATACCCTTAAAACTTAATTCTCTTTGTTTGCTGATAATTCACTGATTTATGAATTCTGATAAAGAAAAGGAAGTTAGAACAACGATGTTTTCTCCTTGAATATCTTTAATAGCACTAGGGGTATATTCAGGAGTTATTACTATACAGTATCTAGCATTAGTTTTAGCAATATGTTGTTTAAGTCTGCCAGGATTAATTTGAATTAACTTTTTAGCAGTAGATTTAGCATCAACGTTAAACTTCTGCTTATCTTTTTCAGAAAGAATGTATAAGCACTCTATATCTGTATTGCCTGCTCCACTTATCCTTTGTGCTTTGACATCATAAAACAAGTTCATTGCTTTTTCGATTACCTCTTCAAATTGTTTACTAGAACCAGTTTCAATATTTTGGGAATGAGAAACAATTAACCTAGGAATTTCAAATAGTTCTCTATCTTTTTTATTTTCTTTATCTACTACTCCATAATCTAATAAATTATTAGGGAGTTTAGAGTAAATTAACTTTACATTTTCAATTTTTAAAGAATTGGGGTCATCCAATTGAATAGGTTTTTCATCAAACTTTCATTCTTCCAACAAATCTTCTACAAAATTTAGATAATTGCTATTTATAGTTATTGCTTTCTTGATGTAGGTTCTTTTAGTTGGATTAGTGTTTTTATATCTAGGTTTATGGAATAACTCAATTTTATTATAAGAAACTTCTTTAACCGAAATTAAGTTATGAGATTTTAAAAGTCTAGTAGTGTAATAATCTCATTCGTATAAAGGATTGACATACTCATGTTGATTATCCTTAATTAATTCTTCAATCTCTCCATCATTTTTAGACCGATATTTTAAAATCTCTTGAATTAGATTCTCATATGTTGCTAAATCATTACTTCTAGTTCTCATTACAAACATAAAAATCTCGTAATTATACAGCATATTCCCTAGTCTACTATCAGTTAACAGTTTAAAAATCATTCTAAAAGGGAAAAGTTGATAATTTGGACTTGTGCTGTGAGGATGAGGATATTGAATGGAAAACAACAAAGTTAAAAAAACATAAGACCGATTGATAGCACTAGTGTAAAAATTATCTAAATACAGTTTTCCGAGAGGGCTAAAAATAAAGTTTTTCCTACTTCCATCTTGATAACCGATCATGAAGTAGCATAATTGACTAATTTTACTTTCCAAAGTAGTATGAGAAATAACTTCACTTCTAGACCTATAAAGTTTTCTCTCTTTTAAATCTTCAAGGATATTCTTGACATCTTCTTTACCTATACTACTCCCTTGCTTTTCTAGTAAATATTTAGCAACTACTGCCAACAAATCCATGCTAGAAGTATGTCTTTGGATTATTCAATATTCTCGACTATCCTCTTTGATTTTTATACTTCGGAGAACATTTTTCATCAATAAAGGAGGCACTCCCTCTCCTATAACTTGCCTAATAAGAGTATCGCTAGCCCAGTTAGGAATATTTCAGTTAATAGGTAAAGAAGAAACAATTAACAACTCATGAACAGTTAGAGTTCTAGCATCCGAATAGGTTCCATCAGGTTTAAGATTACCAGGATGAACATTATTGTGAGAGCCAATATTACCACTATTCATAGTTCGAGCAGGAGCAGGTTCATCCCAATTCATTCTTTTATAGGTATTGTGAAAACCATTAATTTTTTGACTATCTTCTTTTTTTGGATAGTGTTTTAGGTTTTTAAAAGCACTACAACCAGTAGGAGTATGTTTCATTGCTATCACATCTCTCGGATTATGAGGTCTAGAATAGTGCCATTTAATATCTGACCTTTCCCCACTCTCTAAACTAGGTAAATGAGAAATGGCATCTCTTAAAGTAATTTCAGGTTGTTTAGTAGGTCAGGGTCATGATAAACCTTTCCTAAGCATCTTGATTATCATTCTAGGTCTACTTTGAGGCACACCATAATCTTTGGCATTGAGGATATCTCCTTCAACATTATACTTATCAGAATACTTATTATTTAAAATTTCCAGTAGGGATTTGGAGGTTCCTTGGTAAGGAAATAAAATCTTAGTAAATCAAGCAACATTCTCAATTAAGATATAGTCAAATTGATATTTATCAATAAAGTAAAATATTTCGAAGATTAAAAAGTTTCTATTATCCTTTTCATAGTGGAGTTGTAATTTATTCTTACCTAAACTTGATACTCCTTGGCAGGGAGGTGTTACTAACAATAACTTAACATCTTGGGAAATATGTTTTTCAATCTCTTCTTTAACCTTCTCATCTTTTATATCTCCAATAACCATTTTGGAGTAAGGGTATAAATGTTGATAAAAGTTTGCTCTACTTTCAATTAGTTCATTAGCAACCACTATGTCTATCCCAATTTCCTTTAAGTAAGTTTCAGCTATTCCAGCACCAGCAAATAAAGAGACACCTTTAATTCTTTTTCCTAGTTTACCCACCATGATTTTGTGCTATAATACCTTTCAAAATACTTTTCATCATCAAAGGAGGAACTCCTTCACCAATTACTTGTCTGACTAATATTTCACTGGCTCAATTTGGAATATTTCAATCAGTGGGAAGGGAAAAGAGTATTAGTAGTTCATGAATGGTTAAAACTCGGGCATCTGAATAAGTGCCATCGGGTCGCTTATATCCTGGATGAACTTTATTTTGAGAAGAAACTATTTCGCTTCTAATGGTAATGGTAGGACAAGGCTTATCTCAATGCATTCTTCGATAAGTAGCAGGATAACCTCTTATCCTTTCTCCATTTGGTTTTTGAGGATAATATTTAACATTATCCAAAGCAGTTTGACCTGTGGGGGTATATCTCATTCATTTAACATGATTATCAGAGTGAACCCTTGCTGCATGTCATTTAATATCGGATTTCTCGCCACTTTCTAGACTGGGAAGGTGGGAAATCGCTTCTCGTAAGGTGATTTGTTTTTGTTTAGTGGGTCAAGACCAAGAATATTTCTTTTTGTAAAGCTTTACGATTGCTCTTGGTCGATTTTGGGGAACTCCATAATCCCTAGCATTTAAAATATTGCCTTCAATGTGGTATTCATTAGAAAACTTATCAACAAGAATTTCAGTTAGAGATTTAAAAGCACTTTTGTAAGGAAAAGAAACTGTTAAAAACCGAGGAACATTTTCGATTAGAATGTAATCAAAATCACATTTCTCAATTAATTCAATTGCCTTAAAGATTAAGAAATTGCTTTCATCAGCAAGAATTTGTTCTTCATTCTTGTTTTTTCCTATTAAACTAAATCCTTGACAAGGAGGAGTGATTAAAAGGAGTTGCACCTTTTCTTTAATAGCAAAAGTTAAGATTTGTTTAAATACTTTTTCATCCCTAATATCCCCAATAATCATATTTGATTTGGGATATAAATGTTTGTAGAATTCTGCTCGTTTTTCTAGTAGTTCATTTGCTGCTACTATTTCGATACCTATGTCTTTTAGATAAGCATTAGAGACACCAACCCCAGAAAAGAGGGAAATACCCTTGATTTTGCTCTCTCTCTCTCTCTGTGTGTGTGTGTTATCCTTTACCTTACTTAATAAATTGTTAGAGTAAAGAGATGTAGTGCTAATTTTTAGACCCGCCATAATAACAATTTTATTTCTTTTTGTTTTTTTAGATAAACATTTAGTTTGTTTTTTCTTTTCAAAAGATACAACTCTTTATATACAAAGTATATAAAATATATTATATATGGAATATCTTGCCAAAATTCTTTATGAAGAAAGGGATGGAGACTTCTGAAAATATGAGGTTCTGAACATCGAGACAGGCAAGAAAGATTGAATTCACAACTATGAGAAACTAGACTATTTCCCTAGTCTGCCTGGCAAAATAAAACTTTTCCCTAATGAAGATAATCAAGACAAAAACATTTGCCAGTTATTTGACCAAGACATTTTTAAAACTGAGAAAGAATATCAAGAAGTAGAAGAAAAACTAGCTTTAATTGAATTAAGAGAAAAATTAGAAAAAGGTGTTGGAGAAGCAGAAAGTTATCTTATAGAGAAGAAAATAAGACCTACTCCTCAACTAGTGATTACACTAAGGCAGTTAGGGATTACTCAAAAGAGATTAGCCTACCAAGTTTTTCATGTGAGTGAAAGAACTATTAGGAATTTAGAGTATAGAGCCAAAAATCCTAAAAAAGAATATAAAAAAAGAGGAAGACCACTAAAAATCACAGGTTATAACTTATCTCTTTTAAAAACTTTTATTAATCCAAAGGATAAAAGGAATGAAATCACTAAAACTCAGCAAGAAGCAGTTGAGGAATATCGCAAAATAGGTCTAGACTTAAATCAATCAACTATTTCTCGGACTTTAACTAGAGAAAAACAAACTGGTAAAGTAGGAACTAAGGAATATTATGAGTTAAATATAGAAAAGGTCAAGCAATTTGTGCTTGATAATTACTGGCTTTATTCTTACTCAAATTGTTTTTCTTTAGATGAGTTTGGTTTCTATGCTAATGAAGTTCATCGTTTTGTTTATTCTCGAAAGGGCTGTCGAGCCAAAAAAATCCAAGTAGGAGAAAAAGGGACTCGCTTTACTGTTATTCTTTGTGTTCAAAATATAGCAGAACAAGGAAAATTTAAAGTTGGTTATAAGACAATTAAGAATATTAGAAAAAAGGAGAAAAGAAACAAATCTAAAATTTTGTCGAAGATTAAAAATAACAAAGATAAGGAAAAGGAGAAAAAAGGAACTACAGCAGTAGATTTACACGATTTTATTGAAAGAATTAATTTTCCTGATGACAGTTATATCTTGCTAGATAATGCTAAAATTCATCATGCTGTTAAATCTCTTATAAAGGAAAATAGACTTCCTATTAAAGATTTAGCAGTTAAAAAGGGGATTATTCTCAAATATTTACCTGCTCGTGCTCCAATGATACAACCAGCCGAGCTTTTTATCAATGCTGTTAAATACTTTATTAAGAAGAAACTAAAAGAGTTTATTGGAAAAAAACAACTTCCGACTGATGAGGAAGTAGAAAATATTATTAAACAAGCTATAGAAGATTTAGAAAAGAGAGATTTAACCAAAACTTTTCTTCATTGTCGAGATAAATTAAATGTAAAACCTAATTATAAAAGCGGAAAATAATTTTGCATAAAGTAATATATCTCACTAAATCTAATAAAAAAGAGGGTGGAGGAAGGAGTTAAAACCCCTTATATGACTAACTTTTGAAACCAGTTAGAAAGTAAGAAAATAACCAATCGGGAAGAGGTAGAAAAATATTTAACTCAAAAATTAGGCACTCCGACCAACCAACTTTCCTCTAACTGTCTAACTGAACTAAGCAAAAAAATTATTTCCTATTACCAAACCGACCAACCGAAAAACTTTACTACTTATATTCTCTTCGGTTCTTTAACCTCCCCCGAGCAAATTTCAGCCCGAAAGTTTAGGGAGGGAAAAAGAATGGGTCAGACTTTTTATATTCTAAAAGTAGGAAATGAAAGATTACAGG